GAAAAGAGGGAAACGGGGGGGGGGGGGCGAAGGGCTCTTGCCTCCTCCTCACTCCCCCCCCCCCCCCCCGCCAAAAAATAAATAAGAGATAGAGAGAGAAGGGAAAGGGAAAGGGAAAGAGAAGATAAAAGGAAAGAAAGAAGAGGAAGACGGAAAGAGGGAAACGGGGGAAGGGCGAAAGGCTCTTACCTCCCCCCCCCCCCCCCGCCAAAAAAATAAATAAGAGAGAGAGTGAGAGAGAGAGAAGGGAAAGGGAAAGAAAGAAGAGGAATAAGAGGGAAACAGGGAAGGGCGAAGGGCTCTTGCCCCCCCCCCCCCCCCCCCCCCCCCGCCAAAAATAAATAAGAGAGAGAAGGGAAAGGGAAAGAAAATATAAAAGGAAAGAAAGAAGAGGAATGAGAAGGAAAGAGGGAAACGGGGGAAGGGCGAAGGGCTCTTGCCTCCTCCCTCCCCACCCCCCGCCAAAAAAAAAAATAAGAGATATAGAGAGAGAAGGGAAAGGGAAAGGGAAAGAGAAGATAAAAGGAAAGAAAGAAGAGGAAGAAGAAGAAGAAAAGAGGGAAACGGGGGCGAAGGGCTCTTGCATCCCCCGCCCAAAAAATAAATAAGAGAGAGAGAAGGGAAAGGGAAAGAGAATAAAAAGGAAAGGAAGAAGAATAAGAAGAAAAGAGGGGCTCTTGCCTCCTCCCCCCCCCCCCCTCCCGCGCAAACAAATAAATAGGAGAGAGAGAGAGAGAGAGAGATAGAGAGAAGGGAAAGGGAAAGGGAAAGAAAATATAAAAGGAAAGAAAGAAGAAGAAGACGGAAAGAGGGAAACGGGGGAAGGGCGAAAGGCTCTTACCTCCCCCTCCCCCCTCCCGCCATGAAGGGAAAGAGAAGGGAGAGGGAAAGAAAATATAAAAGGAAAGAAAGAATAGGAAAAAGAATAAGAAAAGAGGGAAACAGGGGCGAAGGGCTCTTGCCTCCTTTCTTTTCTTTCTTTTCCTTTCTTTCCTATTCTCCCTCTTTTCGTTTTTCCCTTTCTTTCTTCTCTTTCCTTTCCTTCTCTCTCTCTCTCTCTCTTATTTATTTTTTGGCGGGGGGCGGGGGAACGAGGCAAAAGCCCTTTGCCCCCGTTTCCCTCTTTTCTTCTTCTTCCTCTTCTTTCTTTCCTTTTATCTTCTCTTTCCCTTTCCCTTTCCCTTCTCTCTCTCTCTCTCTGATTTATTTTTTGGCGGGGGGGGGGGGGAGGGGGGCAAGAGTCCTTCGCCCTTCCCCCGTTTTCCTCTTTTCTTCTTCTTCCTCTTCTTTCTTTCCTTTTATCTTCTCTTTCCCTTTCCCTTTCCCTTCTCTCTCTCTCTCTGATTTATTTTTTGGCGGGGAGGGGGGGGGGGGGGGGAGTGAGGAGGAGGCAAGAGCCCTTCGCCCCCCCCCCCGTTTCCCTCTTTTCTTCTTATTATTCTTTTTTTCCTTTTATCTTCTCTTTCCCTTTCCCTTTTTTCCTTCTCTCTGTCTCCCCCAGCTAGGGCTGGTTTTGTTTACGAAGCGCCCGTCAGGAGAGTACACGATAGAGTACACGATAGAGTACACGATAAAATTGACGATATCGTGAACTTTATATCGCGAACTTTTCACGATAAAATTCACGATATCGTCAATTTCATCGTGAAAAGTTCACGGTAAAGTTCACGATATCGTCAATTTCGTGAATTTCTTCGTGAAAAATATGCGATAAAATTGACGATATCGTGAATTTTATCGCATATTTTTCACGATTTAGTCTATTCGCGATGTCCCTTCAGGGCCACCATAGAAAAAAGACGATTCGTTGTATCGTGTTCTTGTCTGAATTCAGTTTTCCCCCTCCCGCGCGATCGCGCGGAAGCTTTGACACCTTATTAAATTATTAGAGAAAGAAGACGATTCGTTGTACCGTTCTCGACTCTTAATCCTAGTCTGACTTCAGTTGCCCCCCCCCCCTCCCGAAGCGCGCCGCTTTGCCGTTTCATTAAATTAAAAGAGAGAGCAGACGATTCGTTCTACCGTTCTCTATTTTTGTCTGAATTCAATTTCCCCACTGGGCCCCTTAACGGTTCATGTGCAGTGTTACATGATGTAAGTATGGAATGCCTGGCAGTGCTTGTCACAGTTGCTTCTGGAAAGGATTTTTTTACTAGTGTTAATGTTAGTGGCCACGGCCCCTTAGTTACTATAAAAAAAAAACATATGTTCTTCCTTGCTATTTGGGAATGTGTCAGTTTGCAACAGATATGGAGAAACGTGCATTTTGTTGAAAATAATGTGAAACACGAACATTTATACATCACGGAATTGAAAATAATTCATGGTTCAATTTTTTTTTTGCCCCCCCCAAGCCTCCCCCCCCCCCCACCAGTACGCCAGTGTGTCTGCATTGAAACCTCAGTCTTTATATCATTTTCATGAACTTTATACTCTCCTCAAATATTTGTCTCAGTATGAAAAGGCCCCCCAAAATTATAGCATAGAAAAAGCACTTTTGACTACTTTGAAACATTAAAAGGTGTGAATTCTGCTTAATTAAAGGTAATACAAAGCTTTGGAAAATTTTGAACATTGAATGGATAGTAATTCTTTGAAATGTTTGGTATCAGTATTTGGATGCCCCTGTCGATGTATTAGAAGCACTAGAAATTTAGCCGCTCATAGTAAAACACTTCTGCTTTCGAGAAATTTGAATAATACAAATTTACCGATCTTACATTATCTTATTCCGTTCAGTCATTTAACAAATCTATTTACATTCCATGCGCTTATGAATATTTGTTTAGATACTTTTGACATTGTTGGTGGGATATAGGGTAGCAGGATTTACATCGTCTATTTCATTTACATCTGTATATCATGTTAACATTTATTTAAATATACAAAATGCGAACAAGACCTCCATCACTATAAACAACTATTCGATTTCAAAAGGAGGCTTGTGTATCAATACAGACAGATATAGGTTACTTCAAGGTAAACATGGCATTGCGTTCACGAAATTACCTGAAATTTATATATATATATATATATATATATATATATATATATATATACTTTTACATATTTACAAGGTTACGTATGTCACACGTTTGATATGTGTACAATATAATAAAAAGTGTTTTTTCTTTTTTATGATTCTTTTGGGCCTTTTCATACTGAGACAAATTTGAGGAGAGTATAAAGTTCATAAAAATGATATAAAGACTGAGGTTTCAATGCAGACATATACATGTTTACTTGAGTTCAACATGTAAGTCAATTTTAAATCAGGTATATATTCAGAAAATTTTCTACATTGTTTTAGTTTGTATAACGAAGAGCAGAAAAGAAAAAGTACCTTTAAGGTATGGCGTTTTCATGCCAGAGATGATTAAAACTAACGTAATTTGATTAAAGTACAAGTCCACTCTAAAAATAACTTACTTTAAATAGAAGCAGAAAAATCAGACAAACCAATCAAAAATAAGTTTGAGCAAAATCAGATAACTAATAAGAAAGTTATTAATTTTTGAAAAAGTATGTAAAACTATAGAACGATGGAAATCACTACACAAATTGCCAATTTGGTTATCAGTTTGTGACGTCATGTCCTCACTTTTTATCAATATTGCTTTGAGTTTAATCCCATTAATTTCTCATTTTATCCCCGAAAACTTGATTTTCCCATGCCTTTGCCCAGGTTATATAATTTGTATCATATTGCGTGCGTGACATTGCACAAAATCTTTTATGAACTTTGAAGAATTGATACTATTTTAGTATTTTCTGATATTGTATAATCATAATTATTGATTTTTATCTAAATAGATTATCAAAAGTCACATTCTTCATGATGTAACTGAAAAGAAATTACTCTATATTAATGCATCCACACAAAAACATATTATTATCAATCTAACAATTACTTGGATGCTGGTTTTGAGAAAATAAGATTCTTAGGGTGAAAATAGGTAATTTATATTATCAATATAAAGAAAACAATTAGTGGATAGTGAGGACATGACGTCATAGACTCATGAGTGAATTTCATTGTTCCATAGTTTTACAGAGTTTTTCAAAAATGCATAACTTTTTTATCAGATATCCGATTGTGCTCAAACTTGTTTTGATTGGTTTGTATGATTTTTCTGCTTCTATTGAAAGTAACTTATTTTTGGAGTTGACTTGGCCTTTAAGGGCAGTGTATACATTCAGTCTAATCTCAATATTTACGATAATATATCGAAGAAGACTTTGACATTATTGAGCATTATTTTCTTACATGTTGGTATACAGTGGCGGATCCAGGGGGCACAGGGGGCACGTGCCCCCCCCCCCCCCTGGCCAAAAACATATATGTTAAAATCAGCCCTAAATTCGCCCAAAATAAACTGAAAAACAGGGACGTGCCCCCCCCCCCCGGCCAAAAAAAAACCATTATAATTTGTCTTTATATAACAAAAAATGCCAATGGCTAACCTAAAAGTGTCTGCTTACCCCCCCCCCCCCCCCCCCCCCCCCCCCCCGCTTATTCAGCGGCTGGCTGAGTCGTTGCGATTTTTGGGGGACTGAAAAAAATATGTGTATGTTCTCTTTCCCGCACGGTGTCCCCCGTGTGCCCCCCGGCAAGAAATTCCTGGATCCGCGCCTGGTATAGGCAACTTGAGAGTAACGCCTTGGTGTATTATACATAAATTAGCTTTGAAACTAGCATTAATGGCAAACTAGGCAAACTATAGCTAGGAAATGAAGTAACATTTAAGTAATTAAAGCAATGGAGGGGGTGCTAGGCTGGATGAAGAGGGTGCTAGGCTGGATGTAGTTAGTGCAAGCCTAAATAAAATCATGCTAGGAGATATAAAATTATGGAGTTAATATTTAATGAGCGAAAACTGACTGAAGTTCTTCAAAATGAAACATACTAGTACGATTTTTTTTGTATAGGACCTACCGAAGCGCAGTCGCTAGTCGCTAGGCTAGGCCCGTGTACGTGTACGTGACGTGTACATAGTCTATGCAAGTTTCAACTTCCAGCATTTGTACATGTGTAAATCTGTGCATCCGAACCGGTGTCTTTCGTTAGCTAAAATGGAAGTGAGATCCGCAGTTTCCACGGCGTTGTTCGTGTTATTAACCATTTCTTTAGGCATCTTGTGGATGTGTGATGCAACAATACAAGTTGAGAGACCGAGAGGGGTATCTCTTAGTAGTAAGTTTGTCCTATTGTTATATGTTTTCTCGGTCGAATTTTGTAAGGATAGTCCCGTGCATTTATTTACATGTACGTGTTATCTTTTAGGTTGTATTATCGTGGCCGCCAACGTCCAACCACTCAATTGCGTGGCGTGGTTGGCGGTCACTTTTGCCAAAATTGATCACCCGTGTTTGTGTGTATTACACATTGTCATTACTCATTAGCATTTTAAAGTTGTGTGTAATATAGTTGATCAATAGAAATGAAATCTCAGTAGAATTTAAATGAAAAGTGACAGAATTGAAATGTTAAATTTTGCTTGCTGGAAAGTTAGGAATTTAGCTTAAATTTTCAAATTAGAAATGAGAGAAAGAAAGAGCAAGAGAATTGATAATGAGATGAAGAAAAAGGGGAAGGAGGAGGGGAAGAAGGAGAAGAGGAAGAGGGCCTAGGGGAGGGCCGAGGGAGAGGGGGAATATTGGAGAGGAAGATTAATCATGAAAGAAGACCCCCTTTTCTGTAAGTTGGATATGAGTTTAAAGAAAGAAAATAGCAGGTTGATTTTAAATCCTACAATTTACTTTAATGTTATGAACCAACAATGACAAAATTTGGTTGCTTGGATAGTCTGCATCTCACTGCTCCAGAATCAAGTCACAAATGCAGACGCTTGGGAGATGTTACCATCTCAAAATGTGATGGTGCATCATTATTTGTAGCAAAGGATTTTTAAATTATCTACATATAACTTTTGTGATGGTACATTTTATATTTACAAGATATTTGAGATGCATCAGAAGAACAATTATTGTAATTTCATTTTTTTTAAATGAAAGAAAAACACTTAAAATATTTTTACCAAGACGTTGTGTGTCTGGACAGGCTGTGTACATGGACAATTGATTTAAACCAGCTATTTATAAGAAATTACATGCAATATCTCATAAATCTTTGAAGACTTACATGTAGGTTGGACAATATTATAAAGAACAAATCTTCATGACAATTAGTGCTTTTTGATGTATATTTTTCCTTTTAAAGCCAAAGGCAATTGCAACAGTTCTATACTTGTCAACTACACGCAACCCCCCCCCCCCCCCCCCCCACCCCCTCAGACCTTTATTGGCCAGGAGCTTTCCTTGAAGTAGAGGGTGATATATTCTAATTTTGCATTGTATTTTTCCACAGATGAACCTTTTTACAACAAGGGTAGTCAAGGCGAATGGTTTACATGCATAGATGGCTCTATGAAGATACACAGAACTCAGATCAATGATGATTACTGTGACTGTCCGGACTCATCCGATGAACCAGGTATTGTTATCGTATGAATCGTGTTTAGCAGATCTGTAGAGATAGATGTACATGGATCGTAGAAGATGGTTGAAACTGTGCTCAAAATACCTAGAAGCGAAAGGAGACGTTGCTCTTGAAACTAATTACAGGCTTTTAGGTTGCTTCTGAATGTGCTTTGTTATGTTGAAATACTTTTTGAGATTTAGTACGCAGTCCAGAGTCTTCTGCAATCTTCCTCTTTACAAGTTTTTTTCAGTTCTTGCTATTTACATACATTTACTTTCTATCCTACAGGCACATCAGCTTGTCCTGATGGAAGATTCCATTGTAACAACAGGGGTTACAGACCATACTACATTCCCTCATCAAGAGTAAATGATGGCATTTGTGGTAAGAAACTAACCAGATTCCATTATTCCATGTTAGTTTAATGATTATTTTGTTTACCCGACTGCCAAGAAATCATGTTTAGGCTTGTAAAAAGCATTCAGGGGATCAACGGTTTTAAGTCCTCTCTGAGGGACTTGGTAATGAGAATTGAGGCCTTACCAAAAGGCCTGGTTTTGAACCTTGGACAACCTGGTTATAAGACCACTGCTCTACGGATGAGCCATCGCGCTTCCTCAAAGAACAGTTTAAGGTTGAACATTGACATGATCAGTTTGCAGTATTGTGCAGACCATAATGGCATGGATTCTAAGATCTAGATTTGGGTTTCTCAGCATATCCATTATTTAGTCTGAGTTGACCTGGCTTTACCTACATGTAGTTCACTGATGTAAGGAGTTTGATATGTTAATTTATTAATGGGGTTGCATGCATGTTAATGGTCTGAAGAGCTTGATACTTGCCAGCCATAGAATTGGAAGGTATTTCTTCATTCCTGAATTCACTCTTCAAGTTGCTGAAAGAACTAAGTAACTTCATCTCTCCTCCACCACCACCACCTCCCCCTCTCTCTCTCTATCTCTGTATTTCTTGCTCTCTCTCTCCCCCTCTCTGTATGTCTTGCTCTCTCTCTCTCTCTCCCCCCCCCCCCCCCCCCTCTCTGTATGTCTTGTTCCCTGTCTCTTTCTCTGTCTATCTGTCTCTCTGTCTATCTCCCTCCGTCTCTCTGTCTATCTCCCTCCGTCATTCTGTCTCTCTCTCTCTCGTTGGGATGTTTAGATTGCTGTGACGCCTCAGACGAGTATGAGGGACCCGGGGCAGGCAAGTGTGTCAATAACTGCAAGGAGCTCGGGAAGAAGGACCTAGAGGAACGCAAACAACAGATGGTGCTCTTCAACCAAGGCTTTGATATTAGACAACAATATATCAATGATGGGCTCGCAAAGAAAACAGAACGAGAAGTGGGTATAATAGGTTTTTGGATTACGAAAAATGGTCCCTTTCTTTCATGCTCCTATAGATGTAGTTTTAGGCATATTGCGTACTAAACATGAAAATTCAAGTTATGCAAGAAACCTTAGTCAGGGTTCAATAGTAACGGTCTGGTTCAAATTTGCTCAAAAATTTGAATCTGACCCTCATAGTTCGCAATTTAAGGAGCCTCCTGGTACTGAAACCTAAATAGTTCGATTTGGACGCCTGTGAGGAGAGTTGGTTGTTGTTGTTGGTAATGGTTTAATGGCGTCCATTCAGTATTGAATATATATACGCCATATCTTCAGTTTTAGAAGAAAATCAGTTATCTATAAAGAAAACTGAGAATAAAAATTTATAATGATATAATTAATTAGTCAGTAACACAATTTATAAGGAGTCTCTGGATGGTTTGCAACTTCGTATTTATACGTTTAATCTGGTCAGCCCGGTTTCGTTAGGAAAGTTAGTGTGGAGCCCTGCCGTAGACAAGGCACTTATCAAGAGTTGCCTTCGCTCAACCCAGGTGTAGGACTTCATTATTTGGAAGAGATTCTTGGAATGATTGTTGATTAGCTGAGCTCTTGGCCAAAGCTTGGGAAGAATTATTATAGAGGAGGGTAGATAATATTACACATATACTACTTATACATTGTACATTCCAACCTGTCTATAGCAACCACCCTAGGGAAACACAAACATTGGTCTTAGTAGACAGGCTCCTTCATTACATAATTCAATGAAAAAACATTTTCAAGGGGGGGGGGGGGAATGTGGTCTTTGTAGACAGGTGGTCACTAAAGCTGGTTTGACCGTAGTAACTTTAGTCCACAGTCAGAGAAACAGTTTTGTGCACATGAGATACTGTAATGACATGGCCATGAATAGTCCATAGTCTATAGTCGTTAATGTAATTGCATCTTGCTTTTATCATTTCAGGGGGAATCGAAGACACTGCAGGCTGAGAAAGAAGAGGCTCAGAGAGTGGTTGATGAAAAGAAAAGTAAGTTGATTAAAAAAGGAAGTATAGATCTCATTATTTTGCCCATACATGTGTATTGCCAAGCATAGTAATCTTCATGTCCAAATGTCAACATTTATACCTGATGATGCAGCAATTTTACCATGCATGAAATGAAATACAGGTCTTGACTGCAGATAAAGGCTGTGTAGCTTGGCAAATACTGGTTAACGCCATCTACGTCTTCTTTTAGACAACTGCACATAAACGAATGGACTTGATTAACGGTAGTCAGCAGCTTAATCTCTACATGGTCAGTGTTCATGAAATAGACCGAACTTCTCCTCACGCTTCGGTTTCGCGTATGTTGCACGCACGTTATTGCTGCGGTCGTGTCGTCCGTAGTCGTACTATACCCGATTGGCCCCGAGTCAGGCCACAGGAAAGACACGTAGTCTTGTCAGTCTACACTCCCTTAAATGGATGTGTAGTGATCAAATGACAATTGGCAAATTGAGTAATGAACATGTTGACTAACGTGTGTTGAATAGTTCTATTGATATTCAAGATCGTCCTATCAAATAACTGCATCCAATTTTTCAACTGCTTTGTCAGCAGCCCCTGTAAATAATTGCCTGCAATTTACAAAGTTGTAAAATATGGACTTGAATTAAACAGTGAAACCTGTCTTTAAAGACCACCCAAGGGATACAAGAAAAGTGATCTGTATAGGCAGGTGGTCTTTAAGTACAGGTTCTTTTAGTACTTGTTTCAATGAGAAACCTTTTTCAAGGGAAACAAAAAATGTGGTCTTTGTAGACAGGTGGTCACTAAAGCAGGTTTGACTGTATCACTATTACATTCCAAATATCCCTATAGAAAATGTGAACGTGGATCATTTCTCATCGACATTTTCCAAACTGTTCATCTTTTTGCAGAGGTACGCGATGAAGTTGAAGGTCCAGAGACCGAGGCCAAAGATAAACACAAAGCAGCCTGGGAGGCCGAAGTAGCCGCGAGGAAAGCAGCGGAGGAAAGGGAGAGAGCTCTGCAGGCTTTCAAGGAACTGGATATTGATTCAGATGGACGGTAAGACCTGGGGGGCATTTCACAAAACTTGTCATCAGTGACGAATGACAGTTTTTGTTATATGCTACTGAAATCCTTGCTTCTGATTGGTTATCAACAGATTTGTCACTGATTTTTGTCATTTGTCATTGAAAAAGGTTTTGTGAAACGCCCTCCTGGTTCTGTTAGCTTTACCTTGCGTAATGATCTCCATGGGATATTTGGGATGGGGAGGGGGCAGTTTAGGGGGAGTAATTGGAACATGGTATAATTGAAATGAGTAGAGCAGAAATAAAGACACAGATCACACATTCAAAGGAGTCATTTGAAAGATGAGAAACGGTTGATTCATTCATTGGGTCGACCGATAAAAGTAGTTTAAGCATGTTCTATTAATAACTAGATAGATGTAATGGAGAGGCTTGAACACCTAACAAACATAATGAAATAGATTCCACTTGAATCTTTGTACAGCTGGTAATGCAGCTGTACAAAGAGTCAAGTAGATTTTATTTCATTATCCAAGGAACTTTCAAGGATCTTTCTGCTCAGTGTTCAAACAGAATAGTTGACAGTGCATGATTGCTACGTAACAACCAAAGACGGATGAGGTAACAGAGATAGTACTCCAAATTTTATAATGTGTAATAATTTGACTTGTTATCCATATATTTAAGTATCAGACTCGACAGTTTCTTTGACTTTGAGTACATTATTTCTACCATTGTTATCTATCTCTTTGTATTTATATTTGTGTTTGAAATCCAACTTCAAGTTTTGGTTGCAATAAAGAAATAATAATAGGTACAGTAACTACTAACCCTGTAAGTTGGGGCTTTGAGCGGATCGGAAGATCGGAGCGACACCCTCGCACCTGTGATCGGTATCGGCAAAAATGTTATGCATGCATGCATGCATGCCTAAATTATAATCCAAGATGGCGGCCCGCATATTTTGTCTCTATTCTTCGACCAATATTATTAATTACAATGTCATGAAAAGGCGTTAAATATCAACAAACATGGTATACAACAACTCCTAATGACAAAATAATCCCAGCTATGCAATTTTTAAAGGCATTCAATAGCAAAAAACTTGAAAATTGTCTGCATTAAAAAAAAAAAAAAAAAAAAATCATTTTTATTGATCGGCTCAAGATCGGCTCAAGATCGGCTCAAGATCGGCTCCCGATCCGATGATCGGTTACAGGGTTAGTAACTAAAATACATATTGTTGTGCTTTCAAGTGTACTTGATTTTTGGCATGTTTATGTAAATTTTGCTTGCAACTTTGCTCCTGCAGAATTGTGTTCCATGAGTTAGCAAACCGGTTGGAGTTTGATACAGATAGCAGTGGAGATTTGAATGAAGAGGAAGCTAAGGTAAGAAACTACATGCACTTTTATCATGTTAACTATAAGGAATTTGATAATATACAATATTTCTATGCTATCCATTTATGGACTTTCAAATAGAGAAGGGAAATGCAAACATCATTGTCATAAATTTCTTATAAGAAACAAGAAAAAAGAAAAGAAAAAAACAACTAAAAATAATGAAAAGACAAATCAGTTTTTCTTTTCTGATTGATTTTACCTATCCCAGTTCTTACTTTTAAACCAATCGCAACCGTAACCCTAAAAATAAAGGTCGGGTCATCATGTCTTCATTTTCTGTCCATATATTTGTTTCTGTCAATCTGTATCTGTCGCACACCTCTCCCTCTCTCTCTCTCTCTCTCTGCAGGAATGCCAATTTTCAGGCAATACCCTGGAAAGTTATTTTCAGACCATAGTTTAGGCTTTTTAATGTACACGTTAGCTCATTTTCAGGCCCTCTCATCAATTCTAACTGGCATCCCTGTCTGTGATTCCATTCCATTTTTTGTTCTTCCTTATTGTAATACTCCTACTCTCTAATAGAATTTTACCCTTTGTCTGTTACCTGCCCCTGTGACTTTCTCTCGCTATCTCTTTCTCTCTCTCTCTGTCTCTCTCTTTCTCTTTCTGTCTCTCTGTCTCTCTCTCTCTCTCTCTCTCTCTCTCTCTTTATCTGAACCTTGCTGCCTATCTGAACTATGATTGCTCTCCTCTCTCCCTGTCTCCCAGGCTGTTCTAGGAGGAGCCAATATAGTAGAAGAAGCTGTCTTTGTCGAGCAGATCTGGAATGATGTCAAGGAGAAATTCAAGTTTGCCCATGAGGTGAGAAAACAGCTCATATGACAGATGAACAAAAGGGGAGATTTTTACTAAATAAATAAAAGTGTTATGAATGTGGCTAATTCATCCAAAAAGAAAACACTGACTGCAGTACATCATTTGCCTGTTTGGAACCTGAAGGACATTAACTCGTATAAATTTACAAGGAGTAAATGCACTTCAGGCTTGAACCAACTGATACCAGGTTAAGATTGTGATTGAAATACACTGACACAATCCAATGTACCATATTATGTTAAATAAGCAGTGCATAATTTTAATGTATGTCTCACGAAAATACAAAATGAATAATGATGATAATCATAATTACTAAATATTTGTATGTTTTTTGTTTGTTTTAGTTAGCAGCAGAGGAAGCACTGAAGCAACAAGAAGGACAGGAGCAACAAGGTGAGAAATGTCTTATAGCTCTAGTCACTAAGTTCAAGCTGTTTGTTCCCCCTCCCCCATCCTTGATGTATGATGTTACCATTATTATATTACTTCTGTATTTTGATGTTTGTATTATAATACAGTCAAACCTGTCTATAGCGAAAAAGTGGTCTTTATAGACGGATGGTCTTTGTAGACAGGTTCGTGTAGTACATGTTTCAATGATAAACCATTTTCAAGAGAAACTAAAAATGTGGTCTTTGTAGACAGGTGGTCACTAACGCAGGTTTGCTGTATCAAGATCTAGTACCCACCATTATTATTATTGTTGTTTTTAAACTGTCTTACCTCTATTATAATATGTAACTCTAGAGTAAAAGTCACCCCCCCCCCCCTTCACTTGACTGTTGTTCCGTGAATAAGGAGGAGGAACATTAAAGGTTGAAATACATCGTAAATTGATATGAAAGAAAAATAAGAAGAAGAAAAAACCTGTTGAGACGGCGAGAAACTGCCAACTACGTCATATTCATAGTTTCATAGCTATTCAAACAACACAATTGTTTTATTTTTATCTATTCAAAACTAAGCATACATATAAGAAGCCATACAATCGGTACGGATTCCAGTAATTTTGTATGTTTGCATGAGATAAAAGACGGCTGACATTCTGAGATACAAAGCTGTTAATATCACGATCGTCATGGCTGTAATTGCTGGATAATTATCATGTTTGTTAGAAGCCGTGTAATCAGCATAATTGATTTCCATTACTAACTTTTTTCTTAGAATGAAAACTTGTTCATGGAGACCGAAAATTTAATTTGTATATTAATTCAATAGTGTATTGATTGAATGAGGAAATCAAAACTGTTTGACATTAATCATCAATATGATCTAGATTACATAGAACATTTTCAAGAACGTACCAATCAGAGAAATTACTTGAAAATTGAAATGTAATTGAGAAGCCATACAATCGGTATGGATTCCAGTAATTTTGTATGTTTGTATGAGATAAAAGATGACATCAGTCATCAATATGATCTAGATTACATAGTACATTTTCAAGAACGTACCAATCAGAGAAATTACTTGAAAATTGAAATGTAATTGAAATAACAAAATTAATTGGGCATTATAATTGAAAAATAATGGCAGATGTGAAGCCATAAAATGAGCATATATGAAGGAAATGGAAAAATAATAGATTTCTTGGTCAAAGTATACATTTATGTATCAAATTGTAATTTTGTGATACAAATTTTCAACCAAAGTGCCCTTTCATCATTCATTTCGATACCAATTTTGTATGGTGTCTAGGCTTCTGAATTTTGTATACCCTTTTTGAAATTGAGAAGAAAGAACCTTTTCTTGATCCCGATTGCAATACACAAAGTTTTCTGTCACAACATGTACGTCACATTCGCTGACAAAATAGCCAATTTGAGATTTACATAGCTGTAGTGATCTCATGTTTAAAAAATGTGTACCTTTCTTATTCATTGTTCCGATTTATTTCAAACTTTTGCAATTTCTCAGACTTTTCTGCTTTCAATGAAATGAGCTTATTACAAGGGTTGGATTGCCCTTTGAGATTGAAAGAAAATGTACTGGGTGTCAATTTTGTGGAGGCATAGCTGCCTATGGCCCTGGCAGTGTTAATCATTATTTCAAAAATTTCTAGGAGAGGAACCCGCTGCCTTCGAAAAAAATGCTTTTGAGGAAGTCCATGACGACATTGATGAGGACATCGAAGATGAATGGGCGGAAGACGATGATGAAGATGAGGAAGACTTCTACGAGGAGGAGGAAGATGAGTTTGATGAGGACCTACCAGAGGAGGCACGTGGAGTGCTGCGTCAGAAGAGACTGGATAGATTGACTAAGAAACGAGAGATGAAGGATCATGCCAAGCCCTCGGAGGATGAGATGCCGGATTATGATGACGCTACTAAAGCTCTCATTGCAGGTGAGTTTGAAAATTCATTTCTTATTACCCCATTGCCTACTGGAACTGCGTGGCCCCTGTATTAAGCCTATGTGAATTCAAGAATCCAGTTGTCAACAGGTTAATATTTAACAAATCTATTAATTGGCTCCGGAAATGTTAGTATGTTGTATTTTCGTTGTCTTTTGTACTGTTTTATATCCTTATTTACATGAATAAGTATTACAATATACATGTAGCCTCATGTGTAAAATTACTTCTATTCATTGAAATAATCCATTTAAGAGTTCTATCTTAAAAATCAAATTTTCCCATAAAGAACACTGAATGTACATGTAACAATCTGTGGGTTAGCAGTCAGCAGATACATATAAATGAGCGGACTGTTTGACCAACCAACCTGATAAACTGCTGACCCTTTCAAACACGGAGAGCCAGAAATTAAATTAGTAGATAAGAAATGTGTATTGGTATACAAGTGTGTGGACTATTGTCATATACTTATAAGTTTTTCTCAAAAAGAAAATTAGATTTACCTAACCTTTTCACAGGCATGATGTAGTTGACTATACCAATCATATACAACTAGGGCATTGTTCTAATTTGGCTGTATTTTGTGAATTGGATACCACAGGCAGAACAAATTAATATACTATGTGTGGAAGTAACAAGGTTGAATAAGAAACAGGATATATGTGTGGAATTGATACTTCATGTATTTATATTATGTCTCTATGTATGCAATGTATTATACCTCATGTAATCATATACTTGTGTAAATATCTTATGTTTATGCAGATACCCTAATTTATAAACAAACCTACGTAATACAAGCTTTGCTTTTTGGTAAATCCCCCTCTTTATTTAGCTTTTTGCAATGTATTTATCATACGTATAATTGTATCTTTTATAAATATTACCATGTACATTATGTTCATTTATGTTATCTTCGATGAAGAGGAAATAAATAAACATGAAACTTGAAACCTTGTTTTCAATCCAGCTGCCGACCAGGCTAGGAAAGAACTAGAAGAGGCTGAGAAGGCCCTGAAGAACATTGATAGGACCGTTGGAGACCTGGAGAAGCAGCTGAGAGTAGATCTAGGACCAGACCAGGCCTTCCAAGCCCTACAAGGACAGTGTTATGAGTACACTGATAGAGAGTAAGATAAGACGCCAGTCATTTGGGGGTGGGGGGGGGGGGGGATGGGGTTCCTCTCGTGTTTTCTCTTCCGTTCCCTGTCTGTATGTCTGTCTGTCTCTTTCTGTCTATCCGTCTGTCTCCCTCAAATTAAAGTTATAACTGAACTGGTCCCCTGCGTTCTAAATTACCTCTCTAATTTATTTTGAAATATTTACTATATATTTCTTATCTGTTTTTGTATGCTTCGTACATGTTTATTGTATGATATAATTGTACATGATTTGTTATTTAATTACTTTTGTAAACATGATACAAATTCAAATTCAAAGTACAAAAAGAAATTATTGTTTAAATTTTTGTACTTTGAATTTGTATCTTTTTGAACGCAGAAATAAAATCAATCAAACAAACAAACAACTAAAATTGAACTAATTTCAATCAAACTAGGTTTAAGAATGTATGAGCATGAAAAGATAAAATACAAAGAATTTGGGTACGTGAGATCAGTGCCCCTTCTTATAAAGAATTGCGATTGATCTTTTCATGTTTTCTCTTTTGTTCCCTGTCTGATTGTCTTTCTTTTAGTCTGTCTGTCTATCTGTCTGTCCCCCTCAAATTAAAGTAATAACTGAACTAAAATACGTGAGATCAGTGCCCCTTCTTTTAAAGGAATGCGATTGATCCAAATCAATCGCAGGTCTTCTAGTCAATTACAAGTTTGCAGTCACCTATCTCGTATGTACATAGTTTCGATTGATATCAATTGCTTAAAATTTTCAATTAATTGCAACTTTTTATAAGACAGGGTCCGGATGTTAAAGGTCACAGGATCGTTGATCAATGAACTTACTTGTAGGTGAAGGCATATTGGAGATGCAGTCCCATTCATCTTGTTAATCATATTTTCATGTGTGATTTTTTTTTCTCTTCACTTTGACAGATACACATACAAGTTGTGCCCATTTGAAAAGTCTTCCCAGAGATCTAAAAATGGAGGTTCGGAAACTTCTCTAGGGTAAGTTTACCATAACACTTCAAATGTTACTTTTTAATAAGTGGGCTATGTCAATCCATGTTTATCTATATTTATCTTTTTATGCAAATATTTTAAGTATACAACTTACACTTCCTCATGTACTCTGCCCTGCATCATACATGTTGATATCCATTCTTCACCACATATGAAACATTCAGTAGCCTTATATGCATGTTATTGGTGAACTATTAAATGGTTTTATTTCTTTATGTATGCAAAAATAGCTTGTGAATGTATTATCACTAGAACCGTTGGATAGATTACTATCAAACTCAAGACATGTATGTATCTTGCAGAGCCAATGAACTGATTAGATTTTAGGGTCACGAGGTCAAAAATCAAAGGGTCATACATGTTTATGAAAAGTAGTTTGTAATCACAATATTCTGAGAACCCGTTAACCCATAGCCTGCCATTAGGCTGTATGCACGCTACCTATTTAGTGCCATGTGCGTGCAAGGGCGCTTTCGTAGTAGCAGTTATTGTTCATGCTCATTGGGCTGTGCTGTGTGTTTTGCACTCGCCATTCATAGAACCATCGCGTTAATCAGATTATCTCCAAAACAACCTGGCACAGTGGGGATTAGCCCTGTGGCACGATAAGAGTTAATGGATTACAATCAAATTTGAATTTTTAAAATTGCTTCTGTTTTGGTTTGTATAATCGCTCTATGGCGGAGGCATCAATTTCGACTGCATGTAGTCGAAGGTCCATCTAATTTAGTATTTGCTTTATTTTATTTTCCCAGCTCATGGCACCAATGGGAAGGTCCTCCAGATAACAAGTATTCTCTCATGATGTATACTAAAGGTCAGAAGTGTTGGAATGGTCCTGATAGATCCACGAGGGTAGGTAGTACATATAATTATGTTTCCTCACCTCACCATAAAGCTGTAATGTTACGCATGACTTTATGAATGATTTGAATATGGAGAACTAAATGGGATTCTCAAATCCTTTTAACTGCATAAGCTAAAGTTGAAATATGATGATGTAGATTAACCTCATCATTATTAACAAAACATTTTAATGCAAAGTGTATTTTTGGCTTCAGTTTAATTGAGATTACGGAAAGACACTCACACTTTGTTAAAATGTCAGAAAAAAAATTGGGCATCCTATTAGGCTCTTCATTTTCAAATCATTTGTAAAGTCAATCGTAACTTTTTTTTTAATGATGTCACAGCTTCGGTACTCAATAGAGAGGTGAACACTAACACGGGTTTGGCTGTACAAATATTGACTTCTTGAGGGGCCCACATAAAGGCTCACATTAGTGGTTTTTCATAGGGAATTTGACACCGTTCAGGTATCTACCCCAATAACAGGTGTTGTTATTCACCAAGAAAGTTTTTTAATTGAAGTGCATAGTGTAAAAACATGACTGGGGTTCACACAGACAAAGAAAATATGAGGTAAATTTAGAGAGTGATCAGTGATATTGATTAATCTCACCAGCTTAGAATTATGACTAATTAACAGCTGACTATATAATACTATTTCATCAAATCAAAGAAATCTGACAAAGATTTGGGATGGTTTACCAAAATATACATCGGCTAGAAAAAGGGAAGTACACAAATTTCATTAGAAAAAGTCTAAGGGTGATTTTGTGAACAATATCTCCAATATTCCAATTTTTCCTGTAGATTCATGAACAAACCAAGGCACAAAGCCTATTGGAAATGAAACGGCACTTTTTAATCCAGTTTTCCATCTTGTTCTGTCATTCTGTCTTCCTAACAGGTGAATTTAAGATGTGGCGTTGAGAACAGAGTCCTGTCGGCCTCAGAACCTGATAGATGTGTCTACCAGTTTGAGTTTACCACCCCAGCTCTCTGCACATACAAATATGATTTGAGCACCGGAGAAACTGATACCCATGATGAGCTATGATGTAGCATACCTGTCCCATACGTTCAATTTCATGTAATGTTTAGTCAAAGGGCTCCAAATGTTGAAGTCGCAAACATATAAACTATCATAACGAAGACTTAGTAATATTTAAAATGTAATTTAATTTTGTATACGTCACGGTTAAATACAAGTGAAATTATGAGGTGCTTTTATACTCTAAATATGTAATTTAAGTCAAGATGTTAGAGATTTGCTACCTCGTATTATCCCAACAATTTGAAAATTCTGTTTGGCAAACAAGGTCAATAGTATATTGCTGAATAAGAAAGTGCTGTGTAAAAATGAATGGTTTCTAAATCCACCTTTAAATTGTAGGTTCAAAATGTTTGTTTTTTCTGTTCTGTAGTTTTTGAAATTGCCAGACATAGCAACAAATAATGTATCTAGACTGGATTCCAAGTGTTGTAGTTCATCCATTAATAACTGGTTACTGGAATACCACGTCACTAAGTACCCAGGAAAGAAACATCCATAAATTTGAATACGTTAGTAAACCGGTCTATTGCAACCCTAACCCAATATGCTTTTAGTAGGAAATAAAATCTGGAGAAGTTGTTCAATCACCTCCGTTTTATTTTAAAATGTTTGCTGTGTCTTCACCATTTGGAGTTCCTTAGTTAGAACTACAGAACTTGTGGGTCAATCTCAAACTAGCTTATTAGAAGTTGGGATAGTTATGATAAGGGAGCACATTCGTACCAAATAGATGTTTACTTTTATATTACAATCTTAAGAAAAATGTAGACCAAGTATTTCTTGTATTTTTCCACTTTCGTTGATATTTTGATTATGACATTGAAAGTTAAAAAAGTATCTGAATATGTATCATCCAATGATTATGTTGATGTAATTGTGATCGGCAGTGTTACACTGTTTCGTTTGTCTGACACAAATAGTCTTACTATTTATATTTTTCAGCATTTCTAAGAAATTGTTATGTACTCTGTGATATCTCTTCCTATGATTTGGGAAATAAACATCTACTGGATGGCAACGCATTGTTGATAGAAGTGAATACAATTCAGAATCATCATTATAGTGAATAGTAGATAGTTTTACTGCACTACAGTACATGTTTCTGTATATTTTGTTCATTTTTCGAAAGTATTACCGGTAGTGCATAGAATAAAGTAAATTACATCAAACCAATAGCGTAGAAAGAAGTAAGAGTTGCATCCTTGTGTTCCAACTTAGGCTGTAATAAAAGGCAAAGCATGTGCATGGGACTTGTAAAGTTTTTCATGCACAATTTTTAATGAAACCTCATGTGCAAATGTATTATTTTTCAGGACACACCGGTAGGATATTCGGAACATATGCCTGTCACTATAACTTCATGTATACAATAAATGATACGGTACATGTGTATTTCATGCACTCTGCTTGCATTTAGAATTGATTCACCATGTAGAGTACCGGTATATGAATTTAGATGGAGTGACATGAACTTGAGATTATGACTTAAAATCTGCCAGTTTTATACAAAATGCCTTTCGATGTAGACAGCTGTAGGTACAAGAATTATGACTTTCTATTTCATACTGCTTTCGTGCTGATTAGCTTGTGGCTAAACAATAACTACTAAATATCATATTGAGTGCTGAAAGAATATTGATTTATACGTGTGATTCATCAAAATGTATGCATCTTAATTTGTGAGTAAGAGAGGCAAAGTCAACATACATGTATATGTAATGTATGAGATACTCAATTCAGCTGTTGGTTGGTTTGATTATTTTTGACATATTGTGTGATAGTTTGGAACATATTAGTGGAGTATTGTAATTGGAATTATCTTGATTTGAATTCAGTTATAAACAGACTTTACAGAATTAGTCCAGTTATCTGAAAAACATGAACATCAGTCCTCACCAGTGTTTGTGATGTATTGTTTTATTATCAGCTATGTTTCTTGTGTCATTTTATCAAAACCAAAGCAAAAATATAAGATTGAAGAAGAATACTTTGTACTTTTTGCAGAAAGATTGTTTCCTCTTTTCTCCTGATATATTTATTTTGTTTTGATTTAATTTGATATGAAAGAAAAAGATTTGAAGAACTGGACAGGAATGCCTCATTTTGGCTGTTCAAGATTTTAATCAGACTTTAGAATGTACAGAATGAATAGGGCTCCATTTTTAGGCTAATTTAGTTAAACCACCAATTATTCCTGTCAAAAATATGTGTCAATAATCAGATTTAAAATAGATTAGATGGATTGAATTTCTATGAATTGAAATTGATAAAATGTTGACTGTATGATTTAAGGAAATTCACTTCTGGCTATTGTGCATTACCATTGAAACGCTATACCCCACCCTTTCTATCATACTAATATTACTTGTTGAAGGAACTAGGAAAAGGTGTGTGATACAGAATGAAAATGTGAAAGTTTTTCTTTCCTGTTTGTATAAAATCAAGTAATGTACATGTTTTGACTAGAATACTACTGGAAGGTCATGATTGATGAATGGAACAGCAATAAATGGATCAAAGTAACAAATATATTTTGTGTGATATCTTTTGTTTTGTTTCCCCCTTTAAAAATAAAGGTGCTCTTACCCCCCCCCCCCCCCCCCTCTTGTGGGGGGGGGGGGGGGCACCGTGTGGGAAAGAGAACATATATATATATATATTTTGTGTAGTCCCAAAAAAAATCGCAACGACTCAGCCAGCCGCTTAATAAGGGGGGGGGGGGGGGGGGGGGGGGGGAGTACATTTTTTTTGGGGGGGGGGAGGGGGGGGGGTCCCCCAAAAATCGCAATGACTCAGCCATCCACTGAATAAGCGGGGGGGGGGGGGGGGGGGGGGGGGGGGTAAGAGGACACTTTTAGGTCAGCCATTGGCATTTTTTTTGTTTTTTTGTCGGGGCCCCCCCTCCGTGATCCGCCACTGTCGAAATACATGGTGGGCTAACCTGCATGGTTATTACTTATAGAGAAGAAACAAGAAGTTTTGTTGTTTTCATGATAACAATGAGGTGATAGCTCCTATAATGATATTGATAATGCACAAGAATAAAATCTTTGTTTTTTATCATTGCCATAATTTGTTATTTAGCATTGTAAATGTGTAATGATCCAATGTTATGCTCTATATGTCATTTGAAAGAAAGACAAATAAAAATGGTGGCCCTGAAGGGACATTACAAATAGATTGGCGATAAAATTGAGGATATTGTGAATTTTATTGCCAATTTTTCACGACGAAATTCACGAGATTCATGATATCATCAATTTCGTCGTGAAAAATTGGAGATAAAATTCACGATATCGTCAATTTCGTCGTGAAAAATTGGCGTTTTATCTATTTGCGATGTCCCTTCAGGGCCACCATAAATAAAATCTTATCTTATCTTATCTTAAGTTATATTACTGAACTATAACTCTAACCAGGGAGGTACCCTGCTCTAACGCTGATCAACGATATTTGTGTTTTCCCTAGCACGAAACGACTGGCGAAAAACTCTAGGCGACTCGGAACCACATGCAGCCAATCAGTGTGTGGTAAACACGAGCGGAGACTTTGAATAGGTCCAAAATCCAATCAATCAACTTGCACAGGATACAATATACGTACAGTGTACATAGACGGTGTTCGCATCCCGTGTTATACCGTACGTAGCGGAAGCTCGCTGCCTCGGACTCAGGCTGAGAAAAAGTGATCAAAGTTGGCGAAAATAAGGAATAATGAGGTGATATTCGTAAAAACTGAGATCCGAAATGATGCTATAGAATATGGAGAAACCAAAAGCAACAATCGGCCCTTTTAGAGCAACGAAATTGGTGAGTAACATTCAGTTTTAAGAATGAACAACTGCCTGATATTATTTAAAAAGAATGAATGGGCTGGGCCTGGCTGAATCATTGGTCCATGGCATTGGCATTGGTAATGAATGTGCGATGATTCTGTGCGTCCGAGTCTGAGCTGTGAGACTGAGTGAGAGTGATGATAGCTGATGCAATTTCTTTTCTATTTTTTTCCTTCTCTTCTTGAAAATGGAATGTCAGCTCAGCACAGTCAGTCTTAGTTAATAAGTTAATTATAATTTATGTTTATAACTTCACTCTTCAGCAATTCAGCAGCTTCTCATCATGTTTTTCAAAGACAAAGTTTCAAAATCAAACACCACCTTTTTCATTTGGATGAGAAAGTGTGACTGTGTCAGTGAGTATTATAATTAAATCCTGCTAGCTCTATTATTATATTAATATGTTTAAAATTTAAAAGTGTCAACAGGGTCAAATATAGATTATAGAACTAAAGTTAGACTAGGTGGTCTTAAATTAATTCTTATGGAAAGACAAAATAAAAATTAATTAATTCACGCACCACAGCACGCCGATAGTGGGCTGCTCAGCTCACTCAACCTTTATTATAATTCCATTTTGCACTCTTGGAGATCTTCTGACTAGCGCTATACATTGGCAATTTCTGATGTTCATGAAATTTGCACCCTTTCAAAGTTTTTGAGTTTTCACAAATTATTCATTTTTTTGTCTGAAATTTCAACAAGAACTTGGTTTTTAAATCTTGAGTCTTGTGGTACTATAATAAGGAAATAAAATTTCATTTTCTTCATTCCTTTCCATCTTGCAGTGGAATTCCATCGTCGGCGACTTCCGAGCTGGCATCCCTCTCAAGAGACATCGATGGCGGATGCGTTACTATGACAACTGCTTCACCTCCTCCGACGCTGCTGATTGGCTCCATGACTACCTCTGTAACAATGAGAACTTTGGCCCCTGGGTCACGCGAACACAGGTCATTCTCCTCTTGGACAAGTTTGTGCAAAGTAAAATTATTGAGGAGGTGAAGGCATCGAAAGGAGTCGGAACAGAAAAGGCCTCATTTGAAGACAATGGACACCTTTATAAGTAAGTCAAATCAAAATATATTTATAAAACCAGAAAATGTTTGAATCTTTTAAAAACAGGAATTGTTCGACCTTGCCAAATATTTAGTGGTAATATTTTCACAACTAGTCCAGATTTTTAAAGCTAAATGCAGTAATTGCCCCAGTCACAATACTACATTTTTGGAAATCTTCAAATTTGAAAACTGCCATTGATGAGTTTCTCATTTTACAGTTTCAAGAAAATAAACACAGACTGATGGCTATTTGCCTCATAAACATCTTGAAGTTGACAATTTTTTAATGTAAAGATTCCTCATTTCATCACTTGACACTTTTGAGGTCATCATGTTTAATTACATTTCAACGTTTTAGAGAAAGGCGTGAATGTACCTGTTGCTACCTGTATAAAGGCTGTATCTAAGAGCATTTCTTGGCTCACACATTTAAGCTGCTTTCAAATCCTCAAATGCCTGCAGGGGTAAACCCTAAGCTACTTGACGAGTGGTTATATTGATGTGCGCTCAGGCCTTTCCTCTCCATTGTGCTCTGAAAGTATTGTGACACAATAGTTGTACACAAGAAATTCACTTTCTTTCTCAAGTAGTCCCAACTGTAGGATTTTGTCAGCCCATCCTCAGCTAAGCTGACTGTTTTTAATAGTGAGAGTTATTTTGATCTAGAGCTCTGTTGTAGCATAGTAGATTCTTCCCCAGAAGTTTGAAGAAATAGAAATTATGATTACATACATGCCAACTGTTCAGATTAAAGAGGAACATTCCTCTTTTTGGGAGAAGATAATTATCATTTTAATGCAGGTGTTCCTCTTCCTGTACAAATTTGTCTGTAGTATTGAATAGGAGAGTTAGGATTGTTCCTCTTTTTTTTTAAATAGCATAATTTGTACAGATTTCTGATTTTCAAATGTTGGCATGTATGTGATTACCAGATAATCTTTTTCTGACCCTTTTCCTTACCGGTATTTGTTTGCTTATTGTGACATTACACAGTGCCTTTATTCAATATAATAATGCAGCTTGCAAAGTATGTAGAGTTGTAGACAGTGGACTCGTAATTATGGTGACAAAGGAGGTAGAACAATTTGAAATGAAATGATCGAGCTTTTATGTGCAAAAAAAGTAATTCCATAGATGTACACGAACTGTTCAAAATGCAAAGTTGCGTAATAGTACTATAGTAGCATGTTCACATCTTTCAGTTTCACTGGCACTCTTTCTCCATCTTAATCATTGGTTGAATTCCATGATCTGATGCAAAATGTTGAGACATTTCCAGGAAAGCATAGCCTGTACACATCCTCTAGTCTTGTGAGAGACTATCAAGCAGAACATTTATCCGCTATGCAGGGTGAAAGTGAAAGCTAATTTGTGCATTTCCTTGTAACGGTTTTTTATTTGAATGCTCATCCTGTTGTAATAAATGACTGTTACCACTGCACATTATATTCTTGATTGCACAATTCAAGTGGTATAATATTCAGTTATGCTGGTAACCCTGATTTATTTTAAGTACCAGAGGACTCGCGACTTCTCTGTTATAGTTTCTGAACTTTGTAGTAGAGTGATACTCACATACTCTACATACTTGGTTTTTAAAAAATACACAAGTTTGCAAGCTTATTTTATTGTTGATGATAATTCTACTTGTTGCATGTGTTTGATCGTGAAACATGTACTAAAAATGTTATCAGGGGAAATTTGTAGATTTTTGTGACCCTGTCGGAAGTGAAATATGAAATATAATATATCAACGAAATTTGTATGTTATTATTAAACTTCTTCAAGTTCTTATTCAATGAAACTTAGACTAAAGTGTTATCAAGTATCCCCAATCATGTGAGTAGAATTTCAGGGCACAAAGTCAAGGTCAAAGGTCATTTCAGGTCAACAAACTTAGACTACGTTGTGGCATCAACATCAAAACTTTTAAAACCAAAGGTTAAGATTTTGAATTTTTATCATAATTTTGAAAGTATACATTTCTATTCCAATAAACTCAAACATAGGGGGTATCAAGTATCATCTATCATGTGATAAGTCTTTTAGGTGACAAATTCAAGGTCAAATGTGATTTTAGGTCTGCAAACTTTTTTTCTTAATTTCAAACTTAATTTCAAAAGTGTTTGTTCAAATTCCATGATACTTGTACACAAGGTTTATCAAGTATCACAAATCACATGACAGAAATTCCAAGTCACAAAGTCAAGGCCAAAGGTCATTTTAGGTCAGTAGACTTGGGATTATGTTTTCACAACTTAATATGAGAATTAATAAATCATTTTTTTTTTAATTATTCATATTCCATTCAAGTTATCAATTTTGGTACAAATTATAGTAAATAATTATTCTGATGATTCATAGTCAATATTCACTTAAAAATGCTGATTACATGTATATCCAGAGGATTTCATTTTTGGGGGCCTGCTAATGGGCCACCCTGCCCATAAATAATGTCCCAAACCTAATTTTTCATCATATAGAATTGCGTTATGCATGCGAGACCGCCAAGAGCGTTTCCCTTGATTGAGCTTTTCCTAAGCTAATTCCTCACTGCCCATTGTTGTACTTTTACACTAGAAATATTCACATAGAGTCAGATGATGTACTTGTGTTTTACATATCTTTTGTATTTCTATCATGCCATTATGATTTCGGTGTACTTATTTGCACTTTCATTCATTTGATCCTTTATTTGGCCTACTTGTACCTCTAGATTCTTGCCAGTATCCCCCATGAAGAAGCTGCGTTCAGCCCTCGCAAGCCGCAGCAGTATCCAGAGCCTAAGCCCCAGCCCCAAGCCAAGGAAAACGGCACCAAGGACCAACGGTGGTGCCGCCACCACCTCCGCCCAACCAGTAACCCGACGGCTAGCCATGAGAGATACAAACATTGATCCAAACAATGCCAGGCCGAACGGTCAAGGCTGGACAGATGGACATCCGACCAGGCCTCTGGCCTTGAGAGACACTAATGTGAATGTCCAGGTACATGATGATAATGTGAACAAAGTCAAGGAGGTTCCAAGGTGCACATTGATTGCGAGACCTTTGACCCGGGAGCAAGTAGAAGAGGTTTGGAAAAGTGCAACATTGAATAGGTGGGTATTTTCCTTGATGACTAAATTATTTTACTATTTCCTTTTTATATCAAATACATGGGTGCTAAGGAAATTCTTGTGTTATATTGTAAATGTGTTGTATCAGGGCTAAAAATAAAAATATAATATATATAGGTGTGAGGGGGTCTCCCTACATGTACATTTACAATGTAAATATTGGAGAGGTCACAAGTGTATTGTATCTTGACATGGCAAACACTATGAATATGACTGACAAAGAAAGCGGACAAAATATACAGTTCGTCAGGTAGACAAAGGAACATCCCTTCACTGCTATTATGTAAAAATGTGTAGAACAGGTGTCACATGCATATTCACCTTTTTACCTAATTGCAGTGAAGGGATGTTCCTTTGTCTACCTGAGGAACTGTATTTGTCCGCTCTCATTGTCCGTCATGTTCATAGTGAAAGATACTGAAAGTGTTATTTTTATTATTATTATTGTTCTTGTTATTATTATGTTCTTGATGTTGTTTATGTTGTTCTCGTTATTATCGATATTAGAAGTAGTAGTAGTAGTAGTCACATCTGGCCACTGAAGAAGAGTGTGACACAAACCTGTTTCTTTTTTCTTTCTTTTTCTTTTTTCATCGCCCTCCGCGTAACAGATGGAGGGTTTTTAGACCGTTTTTTGGGTTGGTTATTCACGTAGTATAAAATGATGAAAGATAAACTTGATACCGTGATAATCTCACCTTCACTTGTTCTCTCTATGATTCTGTCAATACCGTTGAATACTGTAGGTTGCAGAGATTACTCTGGTTGTCAACACTAGACGGTTTACTAGATGAATCGGTCATCGTTCCCTCTGATATCATTCACAACTGCACCCACATCAACAAGAATGGAGTGGTCCAACTTCTCAACAAAGAGAATGATCTTCCACATTGGGTTCTATCTGCTATGCGATGCCTTGCAAATTGTAAGTATGGATGTAGAATGGAACTCACCAAAGGGTTGCGTCATATGGGTTGTATCAAGGTTATAAGTAGAGATAGAAGGAAATAGTGGAAGTCATAGAGATGTATCTGTACGAATTGCCTGGATGATGCAGTTTCCGAGAACTGAACAGAGCTCTGTCAGAACATGCAGCAAAAGAAAATATGCGAAGCGTTGTCATCAATTCTTTTACTCTATTTGCACTGGAATATCTAATCTCTGTTGCTCTTTTTTTTCCTACCCTCTCTCTCTCTTTCTCTCTCTCTCTCTCTTCGTTTTTTTTTTTTTCTTATTAATTTTTGTATTTTTGATACTTATTGATACTACTGGACAATTAAAAATGTAAATGAGGTACCATAATTTGGGGACCTTATCATCTATGAATCATGTTTATGCAATGGTTACATATACACTATTTTTCCATGGCTTAGGAAGTGAGCTCTAGTGAATGTTTTTTCTTTTACCAAACTTTTTATCTCAACTTATGATATCAAACTGTTACAATACACAAGACTGATCATCGTATTTGTTGTTCTTTTCATATTTTACCAGGGCCTAATAAAATAGATTCTGATCTTCCAAGTTATCCCGGTTTTGAGCGAGATGTGTTCAAGACCATCAGTAATTACTTCCAGAGCCTCCGGGAGCCTCTCATCACATACAGCAGATACGACTTAGTGGTTGAAGCATTTGGTAGGTCTCAATCTCAGTACGAACACAACACCATATCCTATATATGGGGCAATGCATTGCGGTTTAGCTCCAATGCCTCCAAGTCTTGTTATTTATAAGCTCTATACAAAAGGGGAAAAAAAAAGGAAACTGAATTATATTGCCTTGGAGTTTATTGCAGCTGATCTTATAGAAGTAGAAGTTTGAAGGATATGTTCAATTTGTTCATTGAACAGTGCTTTGTAGATGTAGTGTGGCCAAAAAAGAAATATCAGTTGAGCAATCTTATGCCTTTTTTTTTTTTTTTTAGTGCGCTAATTATTATCCCCAAATGAAACCAAAGTAGCATGTAGAAATATCAAGATTACTAACAATCCAGTTCTTGTTGATGATATCTCTCTTCTTTTCCCTTCTATTTTCGAGAGGGAATCTAGATTTATAAGCACTTGCCTGAAGATGGTACCCTTCCCATAAATAATTTCTTTTTAGACATCATAATTGACTTGTTGTCATTTTTCTGAGGATACATTTTGGCCAGAAGACAAGCCAACATTTATCAGTCGAAGAAATCTGAATAATACAATATAGGTAAATTTGCAAATTTGCATCTATTTTAATAAAAATGGTTATCAATAACAAGTTACAATAACTGTTATAATCTACTGAAATCGTGGCATTGGCTGAGAGCAAATTTGCCATACAAATTAGCATTTTTTATGGATAAAAAGTTTTATGAAACAGCCCTAAGGTGCAAGTATGTGTAGTCCTTAATTTCAAGAGCTATTAAAATACAGAAGTTGTCTGGGGGAAGTTGGTTGTTCTTATGTATTGCTTTATGTTGTTTTGTTCATTGTCTTGCATGCTAGTTTTGTATGTATGTAGTCCTCCACCACCTCCCACACCCCCCCCCCCACCCGAGCGTATACCCATACAGAACCCTAGCCAATCAATAATGCTTATTGCTTTCTTGCTTGTAGCCGTAGGCTCTTTCTTCTGGGAGAGAAAAACAGCCACTAAAGGTACATTTTAGTAATGGCATATTAGCAATTTATGCAAAATTATGCTAACAAAGTACAGTATATACATATAATGCTTTATTTACGGCTGTAACAAACTTATGCATATTCTAACCCCCTATAACAGTTCCCAATATTCCAACATACTGAATCGACTATTTTATGATAAGTAAATGCTTAGTTTATTTATGCACTGGTTTTATTTTTTTCGATGAAATTATTCATATCGAACTAATGGAAAATAGTCCTACCGCAAGATGTATTGGTTCTTTTGATATATAATAACGCATGTGATTTAGATATTATATATTTATGAATTAGTTTATGAATTTTCAGCTATATTCTGTAATATGCAAATTTGATTTGTAATCTACCAAATTATTTAATGAGCAACTATGAATAACTAAGATTTATTATCAAATAATTCATATATATTAACATGGTACACATTGATGCATGATCTCTTATATTATAATTTGGAATCCTTTTCAAGAAGGTGTAGATTTGATCCTTAGTTTTATTTTGATTAAATGAGATTATTGGACTTTTGATGTTGGACTATTATTTGCTGCTATTTCTATGCTTGCATGACTTTCATATACCCTCATACTTTCTAATTTCTTCATCCATATCCCACAAAAGAAGAAACTAATTCATTTCCCCCTTCTCTTTTCCATCTCTTCCTCCCTCATCACCCCTCCCCCTTATCATGGTGAACCCCAATCATCAATAACACAACAGTCAGTATGGAATGCAGGGATCGTGGCATTATGCCTGGGCAGGAAGTAGTCACTGTCTATACAGGTGTCCATGGAGGGCTCACCTCATTTCAGTCGATGGAGACACTCATGATGAACATGACCACAGGAGGGCAGCAGTCGTCGACCAACACACCCAACATGGAGAGGAAGAATCCGCAAGCGAGGAAAGGGCGGGTTGTCCGACGTAGCACCAGCTTTGGGCTGGTCGATGGGATGCTACGGAACGAGACACCGCATCTGCCCCCGAAGCAGAACAAGGGGCCTAGGTCTGGGTTGAACCAACGGTTTGGCAGTGTAGATGCTATTGGGAATAATAACAATGTGTTGCAGGGTAATCGCAATGTTCACCATGGTAGGGCCGCAGGTTCTAATCCCCAGAGGGTCAGCAACAAGGAGGATGACTATGGCTTTGCCAACATGGCTCCCGCTCCTCCCCGTAGACACCTTGCTGCAGAGGTCAGTTCAGTCAGTGACCAGTCTCACTACGGGATGACAGAGTCCATCTCGCCCAACCTCGTACCCAGGAAGTGCAGCTCTATGATTAACATCCAAGATGCTGGAAAGAGTAGGAACCCCAGCCGGCCCAAATCTGGAGGACTCTTTGCCTCCAAGAGGTTTGGATCCGCCACCGAGCTCTTCAATAAACTGGTGAAGAAGAAATCTCCTTCTCAGGCTGGGCTCCACGACGGGGTAAATTATCCAAGGAAGAGCACAAGCAAAGATCATGTGACTGGCAACCATCAAATCATCTCTCCCGGTCTAGCCCCGCCTCCTTCGTACCCCGTCTTCACATCCTCCCCGATTGAGCCAGTTACCATCCTAGGCTTCCAATCCAGCACACAGAACACGACCCCTGACCTCCAACATCATCCACACCGCATCAGTCCCGCGTACCCTCCCCCACTCAGAGCAACTCTATCCTACTCAGAGATTTCCACTCATCAGAGTTCGACGACCCCGCCTACCCAGAGTTCTAGGACCCCGCCTACCCAGAGTTCAATCACCCCCACTGGCATGCCATCTGCTATCATGGGGTCAATGAACTATCGAAGGAGTACATCTGACATCCCAACTTCAACCCCGTATGAGAACCTAGAACCGCTATCCCATAATAGGCTCCAGCGACATGAGAGTATCGCAAGCATCTCAAGTAAGTCTAGCTCCCTCTTGTGGAATCGTCACAAAAATATTTTGTTTGCACATGGGATATTAGCGGGGTCATTGCACTTTTGCTGTTGGGTTTGCTTCCAAGTTTGCACTTGAGTGGATGAATAAGAATACATAACTTTTCATTTCCAAATGTTGTGTCTATGCTTTTCATGTGCATGTGATATGCAACACACACACACACACACACACATCCAGAAATTTGATGTGCAATGTAACCATAAATGGTTGGAATCATGAGAATCATCAAATTGGCAAAAGGTTTTGTTTAAAAATATATTCATGCGGGGAAAAGTTGGTAATGTAACTATCGATACTACCAAGCATCCATACGTCATTCATACTGCATCCATACAGCTACTATTGTGAAGGTACGTGTAAGTATGCATGTTTCTATATGGTTCATAAACAGAATATCAATGTTTTTAAACTGCACTAGAAGGCCACCGTATTGATTTCAGGTGTAGAAATTCGACCTCAACTTTGTAGTCATTCTGTTTTGTATTGCCTAGATCATGCTGTTTGCAATGTACTAACTCATATTGTTCTCCCCAGCTCATTCATGCATGTTCATAACAATACCTAAAAAGCAGTGTCACGTCTTTCTGAACTAACCTCAATTTCAGTAATGTAAAATATACAGATTTTGTTGTTGTTTCTATATATATAAAACCAGATTTCACATAAGTTATGATTTTTTTATGCCTCCGCTACAAAGTAGCCGGAGGCATTATGTTTTCTGGTTGTTCGTCCGTCCGTACGTCCCGTTCTCGTGATCGCGTTATTTCAAGAACTAATTGATGGATTACCGCCAAACTTGAATCATGCATGTATCTTGCAAAGCCAATGAACTGATTAGATTTTGGGGTCACGAGGTCAAAGTTCAAAGGTCACAGGGCTCATTATGTATGCAAAATAGCTTGTGATCGCGTTATCTCTAGAACCGATTGATGGATTCCTGCCAAACTTGGGTCATGTATGTATCTTGCAAAGCCAATGAATTGATTTGATTTTGGGGTCATCAGGTCAACGGTCATTGGGCTCATTACGGATGCCTAAAAATAGCTTGTGAATGCATTATTAAAGACGACAGTTGGATTGCAATCAAACTTGAATTTTAACAGCTGCTTCCGTTTTGGTTTGTCAAATTGCTCTATGGCGGAGGCATCATTTTAGACTGCGCTGTCGAAGTTCCATCTAATTTGTCAATGTAAAAACAAAAATGTTCATATACATGCACAAGTTATATTAACAATTGCTCTTTCTTATTACCTGTATTCATCACAACCATACCATTTAGTGTATCTGAAAGTTGTATTTTCTTTATTATTTTACTCTCAATATTGCAATATTCAATCAGACGTCATGATTTTCACCGAAAATTCTTTCCAAGAGGCAGTTTTTCTTCTAGCAAGATTAAAAATAACAGGTTAATGTTTGCTGTGTATTAAAGTGTGTATTCACCCTCAACTAATCACCTTGCTGTAGTAATATTTAATCTCTTGTTTATTTCATGCATACAGCTCAAGGCTCACAATATACAGTGTATCATTCATTTCAAAGCACTTAACATAGGACAATGTATCTGTTTATGCTCAGAATATGCCATGAAAATAGTAATTAAACGACATTTAACCATTAAAGCTTTTCTTGTGGAGCAATAAACGTGTTATTTAGCATTTGCTATCTTGTATTTCTTGACACTTCAATACTCTGTGCAAGCTGGTTGTTATCCTTTATTTACTAACAAAAATGCAGATTGTGTGTAACTTAACTGTATAATTCACATAGGAGAAAACTGCCATTCTATGTTGTGCCTGGCTTTTCAATGTGTTTTTTATTTGATACCAGAAATATTATGACAATCTATTATTGAAAGATCTTCTAGATGCATCCAAAGGGCTAATGTTATAGCATTGCACTTGTTCAAGATGTGTTCATAAGCCTATTGCTACATCATAGCCATCGTAAAAGCCAACCCTAACAACAATCCAATTTTGTCTGTATTTTCATATTTATTTTGAATTCCAGTTTAAGTTATGGTATAATTCTCACCTTTCTCACCTGCATGCTTGTATGCCTGTTATTGACATACAGCCTCTGAATTAGACTCTGCCCTGTAATACGGCCAGGGACCTCACTTTCTTGAAGTTCTTTTCCTCTCTTTGGGTATCAATGGTAGTTAAAGATAAAGTTAAGTTCTGGTCGTGAGCTTGAATTGTGGAAGAAACTGTCTCAATGCTGTTTATAATGCACCTAAGAATTTGTGTTTGCTGTTAGTATTGGAATCACCAAAATGATTTATTTGACTCAATGCTGCTGAGAGTTACATGCACTTCACACAGAAATGCATGTATGGGACTAAGTAAGCACAAACGGTCGGCCCGACCGTTTCAGCTTTTTTTGGTCATATTTTGAATATGAAGGCATTTGAAGAGCCATGCTTTTCAGGGAACATGTTTTATCTGATGCTCTTCCACACTTGCATAATAATAATGATAATGCTCACATATTATTTTTCACCTTTTCCCAGAACTCCACCTTCTTTTTTAAGTGAATAAATAGTTCAATAAAGAGTTTGGCAGTTGCATGTATAGTGTCTCTGTAACCATAGAACAATCGTTAACTGGTATGTTTTTTCTCTCTATGGTAGGTTTGTACCTGGGTGAAGACAAGTCATACTGCCAGGAGGCCCTCAGACTGTGCCTTCTCCTGCTTCCTGCGGCCCAACGGAGGGCGCTGCACCTCTTACTCAGACTCATGAGCAAAATGGAGAACAATCCAGAACTGTCGCTGTGCACCAAGATGTCCACTAGGCAACTTGTAAGTAGAGCATCTTTTCACTGATAAAGGATAGGCTTTAGCACTCCTTTCCCTATTCTTGCTCATTTCCCGCATTCAGAAAAGTGATGCTGTGAAAAAGTACAAGTTTGTAGATCATTGACCCCATAACGAGTAGTTCATTTCAGTATCATGGTTGATCATTATTTAAAAGTCTGATTTGGGATGCCTCTGTCTCTTGTTAAGATAAAAAAAGAGATGACAGTTAAAGCTCCTCATAATTATCTTTTGCTTGAATAACTCATGAAATGAAAAAAAGGAAAGAAGACACAAACACACTTTATTTTAAAAAAATAACGTTGTTATTCCCACCCCAGGTCAGGTGCAGTTAATGGCTATGTGGTAAATTTTGATTTCTTGAATGCTTATGGCTGCTTGGCTAAACCTGTGGTTTCATGAATAAGCTTTCTTAGAGCTGCACATTATAAATCTCGTATTATTTATGTAATAACATCATGGTATCATTTCGTTTCAATAGCTGTTGGAGACATTCTCTCGCTCTATCCTGCGTTGCGTCGAGGAGGTTGACCTGGACGAGTGTCTTGCGAGGAAGATCGTTGCCTATCTCCTGGACAACCACACCACGCTCTTCAACATCCCTCAAGAACTCAGGGCAGACATCGAGGAGAGACTCACCTACCTCAAGAGAAGCCAGGTAAATCCTCAAAAACCTATTCAGGATTCATATTTGAAAAGGAGATAATTTAAATCTTTTAGATCTATAGTCATCTTGAAGTTTTTGAGGGGAAAAATAAGGTGTGGATTTAAATCCTATGCACATCACGGATCCATGGAAATGATGGTATGAAATGTCTTGGCATCCTTTCTGTGAATATGATCGGAAATAGTAAACAATCCAATCTGAATTTTGAAAAATCTTTTATGAATTTGAACTGAATGACAGTAACAAAATCTGATCTATGGTGCAAAAGGGGTTGCTCTAATCAACTTGTAAAAACTTGTGAAAATCATATCGTGTTCTTATCTCCATATAGGATTATAAGATCTAGTTCCTCAGTTGTAAGAAGTTCAGGTGAATGGGGAAAGGGAGGTGTGTTGGTGGGTGAAGGCCTAAATATTTGTCCACATTTTACCAGTTGTATTACCTTATATTTTGCCCACCCTCGATTCATAATCACCCCACCCTGATTGACACATATGCATCATTTTAAAGCCTGTCTGTACTAGTTCGGCCAGGGGGGATTAGACCTCCCTGCAAGGTCACTGACAGGTGGTTATCTCATCAAATCAGCTGTCAATTAACATAAGAAAAAGGGGATCATGGGGGACCAACAGGCACCGATTAGGCATTGTTTGCTATATAGAGGGAGGAAGTACCTCTAAGTAGTGCAGTGGGGCTTTAAAACTGATATTGAACATTTGTTACAGATCAAGTATGAGGCTGACGTGGAGAACGTCCAGCCAGCTGGATTCTGTGCTCAGATGTCGGTGGAGGAGTATGAGAAACAAAAGACTGCAAGCTCACAGCAAGCCATTGAGGATCTACTCGATAACATCATCACAGATAGACACATGTCAGCTAAAGACAAGAAGAAAAAACTTAAACTGGTAAGCGACAAAAAGGGAAATGATTCTCTGATGGAACTGAAAACCATATTGATGTGATAGGCTGAAAGCTGAATGTATTTGAAAGTTATTTTAGTTATGTCATCAAGTATTTCTCCCAATATATCCTGCCTGTGCAGTCTGTACTCTCTGTATCAATGCTCTGTAGGTGTGGTCACACCAGATATATTTCATTATGCAGTCAAGCTTATTGTGTAATGAAGATGCATTTACAGTGTAATAATGATAATACCGGTATTCGATTCTACCATGATTGGTACTCATTGAAAGTCTATTGTATTATAAATTTAGATAATAAGGGATAAACCATCTGTGACATTCCGAACCTACTTTTATGCAGCATTAACATAAAGAACTTGTAAAAAGCATTCCACTTCACAGAAGAAAAAAAACCGAAAAAAACCACTGATGTCTCGTTTCTTTTATCTGGGCATCTTTACTTACAACTTTCCCGATTGAAGCTCAAAGTAGAAATTACATAAATAAGTGTTGAGTACAAATTTACCAATCCAAGTGGAGAAATCCTAATTCTCTGTATCTATACCCGTTTAGTTCCACAAGGCTTACCCTGACATCTACCAACGTCGTCTACCAACCAGTGCAAGCGAGGCAGAACTCTTCCCTGCCAAGCCCAAGATCAAACAACCGATGCTCAACGTCAAAAGATCTCTGTCAAGACTCAAACCCATCCGATAAAATCATCACGTTATCTGTTCCTTAATTCTCCTTTCAGATATTTTCCTGTAATAGATATCAATTCAAATTACAGTACATTTAGATGTACTTGAATATTTTTTTGACAAACTGCATGATAATGCTTGAATTTGAATAACTTGTTAATGTATTAGAATGCATGAAATAAAATGAAATGAAGATTCTTAATCGCGAAGCATATTTTGAAAGTGTTCAGGAAATTGTAAGATCATACACATCTCTCTCTTATGAGAAGTCAGAGGAGACAATATATCATGCCAAGCAACTAAGTTATCCAACACATGCACACGCTTTTTTAGAGTAAGATATATAACGCACATGACAGGGTCTTGTAATACCGAGGGTAGTTGAAAAATTGAGCTTTCTAGAGATTTATGTCTGAAATACATGAACAAATATTCCCTATCAGCAGAATGATAAGATATTTCATTTCTTTTTCTTTTTCTATAGTTTTACAACTCATAATTAGACAGAGGTGCTATGAATTTTTTGCTGTTGAGACATAATGGAGCCCCCCCCCCCCCTTTTTTTTCTGAATACCAAGGAACCTTGTTCATATAGGTTAACAACTCAAGAATGTCTGTACCCATAACTTTTCAACCATTGAATTGGAACAATAAATTATTTTTATAAAATGTTAAAATATCATTCCTTTTAATTGCAAGTAGACAATCATTTAAATGACGAGCAAGGTCCAATGTAAACATGAATATCAGGAGTTTGGTCACAATCATCAAATTCTATTTTTTAAATCTCCATTACTACATTAATATACATTCAAAATTTGCTCAAACTCGTGATACAATCATCTGGATACTAACTCCCAGATTAAATGATTGATATTGATAAATGTTAACGAATTATGTAGAGTACAGTACCAAATAATGACCGGCATCTCTGTGAGCATCCATACAAAAGTACACTTTTGAATTCAATATTTCACTCTTTACTTTTACAATAGAATAAAAATTTTCTGCTGCAAGCTCTTTTAACAATGCTAATTAATAAAATGTAGTAGATTTAGATACAATTAATAAAATGAAGGGTAGCTTTGATTGGACTGAATATATGACATTTAGGACATTCAAGTGCACTGACATCGTGTTGGCCTTCATTATTTACTCTTTACTTTTATGATAGAATAAAAGTTTCTGCTGCAAGCTCTTTTAACGATGCTAATTAATAAAATGTAGATTTAGATACAATTAATAAAATGTAGGGTAGCTTTGATTGGACTGAATATATGACATTTAGGACATTCAAGTGCACTGACATCGTGTTGGCCTTCATTATTTGTAGAAAAACTACAATATATCAATCAGTACAAATTAGATTATTATTCAGGGTTATAGAAACTAGAGAACAGATGAAGCCACAGCACATGATGAAGCCGTTCAACTCTTTCTTTTGAATCAAGTGAAAGGCTTATCATCTCACGTCGGTTCATTAATTTACCTCACCTGTGCGTCATCGTTGATGGTCAGCCATGTGTTATGTCGTCTGATATGCGACCACCACTGCTCTTCCATACAAAATAGAATCGGTAAAAATGTGTAATATTTAATAAATTTGATTATACGGCTTCGTGGTCAGGTTATATGATATTAATTATTGCAATGTCTAGACCAGGCCTTCTCAACTAATTTATTAGAAGCGCCAATTTGTTTTTTTATTGAGGTTTAAGTGCCAACCTGTATGTTTGGTGACTGTGTTGCGAGGGAGCGTAGCGACCAAGCCGATACCGGGTGGGGTCCAGGGGGCGAAGCCCCTGGAAGCTAGTGGATTTTAGGGCTTTTTTAAGGCCCAGATGTGGCATTTTTAACACCTTTTTTTTCCATAAAACATCAATCATAATTTCATATTGATGTGAAATAATTAGTACAATTCCTGGCTAAAATCTACACTGGAAGTTAATTTATATGTAGTTATTTTGGTGCAATAAACACGGAAAATGTCAAAATGAAGTGAAAATCAAACAAACAAAATGGCTTGCTTACATTTTGGGCTCAACTTCGACTGCGACTTTTTGATTTTGCTGAGTTTTTTATTTTAAAATATAATTTTTAATTTTTTCTTACTTAAATTTTATTTTTTTATATTTATTCATTTGTTTTAATTTTTTTTTTTTTTTGGGGGGGGGGGAACAGCCGCGCGCCACTCTGACTGACCGCAAGCGCCACGAGTGGCGCGCGCGCCGCAAGTTGAGAAGGCCTGGTCTAGACCATCTACGTTTCCTGATGTTGTTATATGTCTATATTTCTCTCCTTTGATTTTTCATTTGAATCTATCTTGCTTCGTTCCTTGCCCGCATTGTCCATATCTTTTATGTCCCTTGATGTAAGTTTGAAACTTGCATGTTTCAGTCTAAATCTAAGAATTAAAGGTAAAGATCAGTTTTGGAAATCCCCCCCTGTCAAAAAATGAAATGAAAGCCAATCATGTGAAAGAGTATGTTTTGACTAATACGTGATGATACAAATTTTGTCGAGAAACCGCCTACTAATTGATATATTTGGTAAATTAGTATATCTATTTGGACCTGATAGATATCGCGCACGTGTCGCGTAGTCCCGTATACATCTTTCTGTGTACAATGCTTGTAACTTTACCAAGACTGGGCCAAATTTCTTATCATTTTGATGATTCCAGAACCTTGCAGTACACACCAATACTTATATGCTAGATGATCAATCTTTTCTGATCGATTCCACAACGTTTCTTTCACAATGCAATGATTGCACTCGCATGACCATAACTGATCTTTATCTTTAATGGCATGCACTATCCCTGACTTAAGCTCATGTAGAATCCTATAGTGCCTGACATCACGAGGCAATGAAATTGTCTTCCTCTATGGTGTATTTATGAACTATTATGTCTATAAAATAAAATGTAAATACGTCTCAGAGTTTAATATAGAATATATAGGTAAACAGTGTAGTAAGATTTTCCATATCTATGCATGTATTTAGGTTTAAACAGTAAGAAAGTGAATATTTCTATGCAGCTAGACTTTGTAAGATTTGAAAGGCTTAGGGTTAGACTGAGACTCATTATGTAAAGATGCAATTTGTAATTTATTGTATAAAGCAAATAGATCAGGATTTGGGGATTTTTTTGTATACTTCCAATGAAAAGCCCAGCACCTCTGAAAATGAGATTTTGTTAGAAAGTTGTATTGATAATGTTGATTATATGTATGGACACTCGTATGCCTATTCAAAATTACGCTAACACTTTACAATAGGGTTGATCTACATGGTATGTAACAGCTAAGCACTTGAATATGTGGTCTACTGTTTGAGGTTTTCTGATATACACGTAGTCAGAAGTTAAAAGACAAGAAAAGCTCAGCTTTTATGAATTTTCTGAATATAATGTAAAGTAAAATACAAGCAAAGCAAAGTGTTCATTATGGCACTATCACTTTCATTTTGAAAGTTATCATAAATTGCAATTCTTAATGGAAATCAGTAGTGCTGAAATGCAATGAAACTAGAAGTGAATTGCATTTTTGGAAAAATAGCCAATTGCTACTTGGAAGTTGTTGTAGAGAAGACAGGCAATATTGGACTAGTCGTGCCACTCTTTCTAAATTGATAGCCACTTTATTTCTACACCTCACCATGATTGCAATTTCGTCCTAAATCTGTCCACTAGATGATGGGTGCCCGTAAAATTTATTTTGATCATGTATAACACATTCATTTGACCGGCTCTGTGGATGAACATTTTGACTATTTTTTTAAACCAGGGGGGTGTTTCACAAAGACTAAGATTGACTTAAATTGGAATTGAACTATGGCAGGTGATTTATGCCCTTAAAAATTCTTGAACCAGATGCAAAATTAGATGGAAAAAGCCTTAGAAATTATGATCTTTAGATGTTTTTTCCTTGAATAATAAACTATTACAAAAATGTGAATTCTGTAGATTTGCGACGTCGCTTGAGAGACCAATGGTGAGATCAACCAGTGGTATGAATGGCCTTCCATAGTTCAAGTCCAACTTATGTTGATCTTAGACATTGTGAAACACCCCTAGATGTATTATATGTTTTGTTCCGTTCATGTTTCCATTATGTAAAAACTGTTGGCTGTTATATCAGTCTGTATCTCACATCTGTTTGTACATTGTATATTATGAGACTGCATGAGAAAGTTGTTTTTGTACCCAATAAAATTCTTCAAATAATACAGAGTGTCTTATGTTCCCATGTTTTCCCTACGATTGACCTAAATTCATAAATTCTAAAGTCCTAATAAAATATAACATGTGATCCACTATGGCAAATTCTATTGTGCTGTAGGAGCCTCCGAAAAAAAAGGTTCGACTTCAGGGACCAACACCACATTTTTTAATGGTCGGATAGTACCTGTACATCTACTTCAAATTGTTTTGAAGAAGGGATGAAGTCAATATGTGTGTGAAAATGGAACCAAATACTTTACTTTTAACTCTAATATCTTGAAATTGACTTTCAATGATTATAATCAACTTTGTCAAATTTCAATCAATTCCTTTGAATGAGGTATCATAATAAAGGTAATTTCTTACTTTTTCCAGTGATACCTAGATTTCAATTTTCATTTTTACTATGTCATTTTGCCATTTTGCCATTGCAGGTCACATACATCTTCATCATTACCACCATCATCATAATCACCATAATCATCACAATCTTTATCATAAACCATCATCTTCACAATCGTCTGCATCATCATATACATCTTATTCTCTTCTGTGCCACTGACTCTCATTTTATATTTGGATTCCTTTGCTCTTTTCCTTCGAGAGCGAAATGATTAAACAGAAATAAACGTAGTCTATCGGTAAAAGGTTTCATCATTACCTCCACATTATCTTCCACTCAACTTAGATCTTGATCATGGTAATTTTCTAATCAAATCTTCCACGATCTTTAGAGGTCTGAATGTTCAAAACAAAGCCCTGAAGACCTTGAAATATTGAAACAATTTAGAAGAAGGAAAGATTAAATTTGTATTCTCTCTAGCATTTGTTTACATAAGTAATTATGTTTTGTTCTTTGTTCTTTAACCTTGAATTTGAAGAGTAATTCTTTGTATATTCACTGAGCATTTTGCATAATTTGTTATTCTGAATCCAACTTGTGGCATTGGAGGGCGATACATTTTCAGGAAAACTGTCGGCTTTATTGAAAGGAATACATACATGAGGGCTTATTTTGAATAAAAGAGAGGGGGGGGGGGGGGGGGGGGTAAACAAGTAGAGTACTCCAGAAAAATTATTTTGGAAAACAGGTAAGGTATAATGCATGGAAGGGTCTTTCATCTTCAAATATGATAGAGGCAAGGTAGAAGGAGAGATAGAAAGATCAATTTTTATGTTAACAATTTGAAATAATAAGACAAAGACAAAGTATGTATTTTTTTCTGATCAATACAGTCCTTTCCTCATACTTGGTTCAAATAATTTATTATAAAACTGGAAAATTTGTCAACTGCATCAATCCACTTTTTTTCTATTTTTTATGACATTTTAATCATTTTCTTTTTTCATCATCAACATCATCATCATCATGAGTGAGTTTTTGACTAATAACATCTATCTTTTATCTACTATAATTCCATCTGGTACTATAAGATAAAACAGACAAATGACGCTACATCCTCCTAACTACACATACAGCTGATCGTTTTTTCTACACCAGACGCATAATAAATTATCACAAGAAAACCATTAAATTCACAAAGAATGTTTTTCTTTTCTCCATCCTTCCAAGAAATAATCTACAATTGGAAATTGAGGCATGCCCTGAGCTTTATAATTTTTCATGATCATATTTTTTCATCACAATACTACAAAAATGACAGAAACAACTTGCAACATTTAGGAGTGAGAAACAGTGCACGGAAATATAAAATAAAAAATGAATTCTACTTCAGAGACTTCAACCATTATCACAACTAAATCTTCTAATTAGTTTCAAATCTCTTCAATTTCATCATTCTCCAAATACCCTCCCAGGAATCTTTTCAAAAATCTGACTGAAAAGTCCTGACGGAGAAACGAAAATCTTGTAAATGTCACATCACAGGTACAAAATATACAGAAAGGGATTTTGTTATCTCCAGTAATATTTTACATAGAAATGAATGTAATCTTAGCAAGTACAGAGAAATGTGATTTAGAAGTTTAAAAAAGAAAGAAAATTGCATTTTTACACCAAAGTAATGTTTGTTTGTGCAGGTATAGAGCAGTAAACATGACAAGTGATCTCATGCACATCCATTTCTGGCATGAAGCAGAGCAGATCTTAGAATCATTCTGGTTATTTCACTATTTTTTTTGCAGTTGAAATGCCTATCTGCAGACACTAACATGGTGTGGTGTTTAAGAAAATTATGTCTTATAAGTATTTAATTGTTGAATGTTATCCATGCCATCGTTAAATAGCAAGTCATTTCACAACCCGTAACCTACATATAACACAGTCTAGTTTACGAGCATTCATGTTACTATGATCGAGGCTGAAATACACAAATTCCCAAATGGGATAGTACTTCTGCATAGCTAATCACCACTATTACAATATTTGACAATGGCTCATATTTGGGAACTGCAAACCAAACGGCGTTCATGTAAAAAAAAAAAAAAACAAACAAAAACAGGAACTCTTTGATGAAATGACCTGCTATCTAAATCATGAAATAAGGCTTATGTAGTACTCCATGAAGCTTTATAATGAAAGTAATGGGTAAAAAAATGGTTTGTTGCATTTCTCTGCAATTAACAATCTTTTATAACAAATCAGCTAGTAATCTAATAGAAGGACATCCCTGCATCTTGCTAAATACCCATTATTTCTTTCTTTCTGAACAGGTTCAACCCATTCGAACTCGATATATCTGTAAATACCTCGTCTAAACACAATAGAAATCACACAAATAATATGTATCTTGCGGCAAACAATTTGGTCATGTGGAAAAAAAGAAGAAAAAGAAGAAAACAAGAAACATATTTAGTAGACTCTACAAACTTAGAAATATTTGATACAATCATACAGTCGATATCAACTGTACATGACACTCGACAACTATCATAAAGAAAACCTTGGAACATCAATAAAATGTATTTGTTTGTCTTTGTACAGAAACATTCCTTGCACTTGATTCCCCTTCAAAAAAGTTTTGACATAAAATAGCACCTGTTCTTCATCTTCAATCCCTTAGAAAAACAAAATCTTTGTCAAAATATATTGGCACTTCCACTTCATATCCAATTGTGGTGGCAAAAGAAAAAAAAGAAAAAGAAAAAAAAAAACCTTTATCTAATCTAGCATTACAGATAAACATAATAAACAAACAACATACATTGTCACCATCATACAATAGTACATAGACACGGGTTAGTGACTCCTTTCTTCCTGCAGTTCATAAATCAGATCTGAGTTCTCTTTTTAATTAATCTCTCTTTCTTTCATTTTTGTTCAAGTAACAATGATTGTCAATGGTTCTATTATGTTACCTTTACTCAAAGTCAGTGACAAGCAAAGACATAACTGCCATACCATCTTGCAACACCTAAATATTATCAAGACAAAGCTTTAGTTTTTTATATGTTGATTAATTTTATTTTTCTTATTTAGAAAACGATAAAAACACTTTTAAAAAGTGGTAATTTCCTTCTAAAATTAGCAAATTAATGTGGAGTTTTGGCAGTTTAGAAGTTTTAGGTGAGAAGTATTTGCGAGAACTCAGTCTTAATTTAAACCCAGAGCAGCCCTTCTTCATTCACAGCACATTATCTTCTACAAGATAAAGAAAAAGGAAATAATTTTAAATATAGACCGATAAAGGTGCACTTTGATAGACTATCACACTTCTTTCTTTAAAAAAAAAAAGGAAGAAGCAGCTTTACAACATATACAATATGCACAATTTCAGGTAATGCCACGATTTCAGAAACTATATATAAAAAAAAGAAGAAACACTTTACATCTTTCACTTTGAAATGTGCGTAAACAAGAAGTATAACGTGTGAGGTGTGTATCCGTGACAACGAGAAACCACAAACAAGTGAGCTCATGCAAAGACTAGGTCTTCTTTTGTGATAACACTCACAATAAATAAATATATAATGATTCAAACGACTTTTTACAACTTCTTATGGTTTCCACACAAGCTTGAAATCATCGTAATAACGCAGCTATCATTGTTTTGTTTTTGTCTGCAGCATGAAGAAAAATGAACGCTCAAGAAATCAGACTTAAATTATATAGGGTATTTTATTTACCAAGATTTAAAACTTTTATGATGAGAAATGGTCTTACTTCTAGCCATTTCCTGAAATAATGGTGCAATTTTGAACTATTTAGCCATAGCATGTGAACTAGAGACAGAAATTAAACATGCATTTTCTTTGGGAAGCATTTTTTTTTGCAAAAGATTTCTGTACGATATCTATAAAATGCGCAGGTAAGTCAATGTAGGTACTGATACACGCAAAAATGGAAGGAAATCATCTTAAATTCTACCCTCGATTTCCCAAGACTATTTATTTTCAATCAATCCTCAACTATGAATTATGACACATCAAAATAATTTCCCTGCATCATGCCTATTTGATTTTTAATATTTAAATATATTGGCAATAACCATTAAGTAATGAATAATAAGAGTTCTAATGTACATGTTAAGATATGAGGTAAATGAGGTAGATTCTTCAAAAAGAAAATCGTCTTGTCTTAACTTAGTCAATCAAGAAAGGATAAATAGATCAAGAATATGGGGCATCCAGCTACATAAATCATTAACTCAATAACTTGCTAGTTTGCCACCTTATTCCAAATATTCAATACAATTCCATTTCTAAGATATTAGACAAAGTCTCTTAGAAATTGAAATATCTCCTTCTTATTCTTATGGCGATATGTTTATTATAACCACAGAATTAAGAAAGCATGTTGGGGCATTGCTGACTGGCAACAATTGAAGGATTATAATTAAATACATCCAGAATAATGAACCTATGACATTACTTTATTTGGAGTTGTTTTTATGGATAGCAATACAGCCAGCTCAGATACAAGGATAGTGATAATTCTTAACAAGGAGATTTGGCATTAGCCATGCCCCTTACAGTTCCTATGTTATACATGAGCACTTATAATATATCTGCTATTGAAAGTTTTGTTTGTTGTAATAAATTATTTAAATACATTTCATAACACTACACACTGAGTAGTGGAATTACTCACATGTTAAAAGAATCATGCATTTTGGGGGTCTTTTGGCAATTAACAACACTACAATTGGAGCAAGAGTTGTCTCTTTGACAATTTCCTACCTTTGGCAATGCTTCTAGAGATGAAGAAATGAATTATCGACATTATTGGCAATATTAAAATATGAATTTTCCTAAAAGGATGCATTTACACGTCTTTGAGATGGTACAGGGCTACAAAGACAATATTACAATGATTCTTATAACAGACGTGTATGGACTGATCATAAATATATTACATTCATGGCAATGAATAGAATGAAATCTGGTTAACTTCATAAACATATTAAGTTCATGCATTTATAAATCCATTTACAATTTTTAAGGGTGGAAATTTATGTAAAGATTATGAATTACATAAAGGGTATTTACTGTTTACTTCAATGAAACACATCAAACATACATGTGTAGGCTTGGACACACACACAAAGGTGAGGTCTTGTCTTTACTTCAACAAGTGGCTAGCTTTGGAAATAAATGTTCTATTTTCATCAAGCATTTTGGAGGAATAAGCGGTTTTGAAGACCAAAGAAATAATCCTGCATTACAAACAAGAAAGTAAATTTTCATTGCTTTCTAATTGCGCAATGGAGCATGAGATGTAAATTGCAGCACGAGAAAGAAATCCTTAACTCCAGTGAGCCCTTACAAGCTACATGTATGACCCTGAATGTTTATAAAATTCTTCTCTTCAAGTCTTTCAGATTATTTCTTGGGAACTTCAAGCCATAGCCTTAGAGACAGGAAACCTCACATGTAATATAACGTGCATTTTTTTACTTTCTTGACAACGACGAGGACAACAACTTAACTGGATGACTTATCCGAATACTGATGTTCAACACATGATTCAATTTGGATGAGTTACAAATTGTAATGTTTGTTTACTGTGGAACACTTTTAAGAGTTCATATCATGGCATACTAACGAGTTACATAACATGGAAACAGAGACAGGAATCAAATCAATAATACACAATACTACAACGGTGTGGCTAGAATCGGTAACATCCTTTTTCCATATCAAGGAATTAAAAAAAAGAAAAAAAGAATTTGCATATTGCCCCTGCAGTAATTGATTCACAACCACAGAATACCCACAACTGGCACATACACCTCTACGCCTCTGTCTATAGTCGTGCCCCGCTCTGGGGCTGAGAGAGTGCCCTCTAAGGCCCAGCGTCATCCGAACCTCTCCCGAACAAGATGCATTAGTTTCTTTTTGCCGCGGTACATGATCTTAAGGTCGTCTATTAGCTTGGTGAAGCGCATGTGGCCATCGGGCGCGAGGTAAAATGTCTCCCGAGCCTTCCCGAGGAACTCGATGAAGTCGCCGTAGTGGCGCGGGGAGATGTGTGTGAGGCGGGAATGGGCGGTGTTGATGTAAGCAGCGATGGCCGCGTCGAGGAGCTGACGCATGGGATCTTTGTCATATGGCAAGAGTTTGATGCAGCGACGTTTGACATCAGGTGGGCAACCAACACCAGGGGCTGTTAGAGTACATCTGAAACAAAAGCAGAAACATTTCATTGGTTTAGAGGTTGTATGAGCTCAATGGACATCACTAAACTCCAACACATATCAAGGTCTATAACACATGAACAGAAGAAGTTTAGAAAATTTTACCATGAAGATGGAACCTTTCTTTTCAATCAGCAACATATTGTCTGTTATCTGTTTCTACAAAGTTTGCTACAATGTCCAGAAAACTGTAATGTCGACATAACTGGCAGATAACTAAATCAATGTTTAGAGGAAGTAAGTTTCTTTACTTACCTATGAAGTACATCAGCAAGGACCGAGGCACACTGGACGCTCTTGACCACTAGAGGGATCATATTAGTCAGCTGCTCTTTGCCCAGTGAGTGGCTGAGTGCACAAGCCCAGTACACGTCGTTTATTGCTGGATGCGTGTCCTGGTTGTACCCCAACGAAAGATTCCTCATGGCGAGGACGGCCAGGTCGTAGGCCAGCGAGGCATAGCCCCGGTGCTCCATGTACCTTGCTATCGTAAAGAGTTGCTGAGAGTTCATGGCTCCTGCTGCCGCGTCCACGACTATTTGATAGGCGGCCTTGAATGCCACAGTGTCTTTCTCACATAGAGTTAAAGCACATAGTGCACAGGAAGGTGGATCCTTGGCAGCACATTGTAAAGCCACGCTTCGAGCACACCGGGCTAGCTCCTCCTGTTCTCTGAAGTTCAGGTTCAACCTGACGGCGGTGGTGGGCGACATGACCGTGGTCGCGACCATCGTCGTTGCTTCCGTCGGTGAGAAGAGCGTGTACCACGACTGCATGATGGTGATGAGTGCGCCCATGCCGATCTCCGTGGCGCAGCGGACCATCCAGTGCACCATGTCCCTCCGTCTCCAGTTCATGTTGGCGAGGGTCATGCGCATGATGTGCAGGCCAAGGTCAAAGGTCGCCTTGAGGAGGGTGTAGTGGGTGGGGCCATCGACGGGTGTGGCTACCTTGAAGGCATCCTGAGCAAGCTTGAAGAGTTGTGATGCACTGTGGATGTGGCGTTGGGCTGCCTCCAGAACATTCCGCAGTCGACGAGGATCATCTGAACAAAAGAAGGCAAATTGTTTTTAATCCATCCTGGCTTGAGAATTCTACGACACAGTTCAAATTTTAAGTGTGGCTAAAAATACAATGTTCTAGATTGTTTAATCACTGGATTTCAATTTAGAAAGTTTGCCTTCTAAATCTTTCTTCACACTGTACATTTATAGGATCTGCATTACTTCTGCTCATTTCTATCTATATCTACATTCCTTACAGGAAACATGGTTTAAAATTACCCACCCTCCTTCATAGAAATGAAACATATCCACTATTGATATTCAAGCCTCTGCTACTGTGGTTAATTTATAATTAAAGGTGGTTTCAACCTTTTCCCTCAGCAATAAACCTCAAAGGCTTGTTCAGACATGGTGCAGTAAAGCGCCGCAAAGACACCACCACTGTTTTAAAAAGTATTAAATGAATCTCAACTGCGCTCAACAAAGGACTTGTGAGTATTCATTGAGCTCTGTGTTATAAGATTTAAAAATGTGAAGTGTATTACATTTTATGTCATCATAAATAAGAACTACAGTGATTGTATCACGTCATATTACTAGTATCTTGCTTACGTCATATTGCTAGTATCTAGTATCTGAACAAGCCTTAATTAACCCGGTACAATATCGTACCCTTTGCAGCAGTGATCATACAGCTAGCCAGCTCGCACTGTTGGGACTCTATGTGTCCGAGCACAAACCAGCGAGGATATCGACCCATCAGAACTGCGTTCATACTGCTGGCTGTCAGTCCTCCACTGCCCGATGTGCCTTCCTCTAAGATGGGCAATCTGTTGTCAAATTGAGAAGTTAAAGTCACATGTGAACACTCTCTATCAGCTATGACTATACTACGATTACTATGTAGTTGAATTTCTAAAACTGATTGATAGACAGAAGGAAAACTTCATCTATGATGGTTAAAAAGCTTCATGGGGGGATTATGAACAATTATGAAAAACTGTTTGACAAACAGTTTGCTGAAGATTTTCATTATCAATGGTTAATTTGAGAGCATCATATTATCTTTCAGTACAGAAAGGCTAATATTATGCATTTATAGCTTTTCATTAGCACTTTAGTGATCCAAATGAACTACATACCAAATCAAATGATCCATGTGTTTTCAAACTTTTCTGAAGGCTCCTAAACCACTTTGGCTACATTTTTCAACCCCTTGCATTTATTTGCATTGAATTCTGTCATTTTCAAGAGGACATTTTGTTCTTACCTCATGGCACGTAGTCCAACCTTGTAGGCCAGGTCCTCATTGTACGGGAGCAGGGTCTGGAAGAGGTATCTACCAAAGGTGTGCATGGGAAAACTCTCTGGTCTCACTGTGCTACCTAGACCACTGGCAGTACCTGCTGGGGAAAGCCAGAAATAGAGTGTATTCCTAAGAAACAAAATCTCTACATGAATCTGGACCAGATTGTAATCTATACGGATCTAGTTGTTTCTCTTGATTTACTCCCCTCTACCACTGGTATCTTTACCCTTGTAACTGTCCATTCATGTTGATTTACCCCCAACCACTGGTATTTTTACCCATGTAACTGTCCATTTATCTTGATTCACCCCCTACCTCTGATATCTTTACCCTGTAAATGTCCATTTATCTTGATTTACCCCCCTACCACTGGTATCTTTACCCATGTAACCTTCCATTCATCTTGATTTACCCCTACCACCGGTATCATTACCCCTGTAACTGTCCTTTCATCTTGATTTACCCCTGTAACTGTCTATTTACCTTGATATACTCCCTTTACCATCAGTATCTTTACCCCTGTAACTGTCCATTTATCTTGATCCCCCCACTATTATCTTTACCCATGTAACTGTCCATTTATCTTGATTTACCCCCTAACCACTGATACTATCTTTACCCAGGCCTGGAACTGTCCATTATCTTGATTAACCTCCCTACCCCTGATATCTTTCCCCTGTAACTGTGTATTTATCTTGATTTACCCCCCTATCACTGGTACCTTTACCTCTGTAACTGTCCATTTATCTTGATTCACCCCCTCTACCATCAATATCTTTACCCCTGTAACTGTCCATTTATCTTGATTCACCCCCCCCCCCCCCCCCCCCCCCCCCCCCCCCCTCTCTTCCTATGGTATCTATAACCCTCAAATCTCCTTACCTTCCATCAGGGTATTAGCCTGCTGCTGCAAGACCTGGACCAGATTATGGTCCATCAGGATCTCACTATGCCTTGTGATGAGTTCCTCCTCCGCCCTGCAAGCCTTGTCCTGAGCATACAGCCCCATCGGCATCACCCTCTGCTGGCCCAGCCCGATGACGGCGACCTCGTAGGCCAGGGTGAGGTACGACTCCAGAGGGTCGTTGGACCCCGTCACCCTGACGTGACGGTATTTGTTGTTAGCGTGGCTCGCTGAGGAGGAGGAGGATTGGTTGGATGATGACCCGCTGGTGGAAGGGCAGTTGGACATGCCTGAAGCAGATGAAGATAAAAAGGAGGAACACGATATATTATAAACTCCTCTATATGTACATCAAATATTTAATGTCATGTTAGAGATAACTGCCGCTATTACAACTTCCTGTCCTTACAGTATTGACAAATAAAATATTTCTAAATGAAGCCTAGAATTACATGTATTGCAATGTACTTGTACTTTCATAATGACAACAGCTTCTCTTGAAATCATAGCTTACATATATCTTATTCTAAGAGGTCTACATTCTACAATTTGCATGGTTATAAGGGATTTCCCTGATGCAGTTACATGTATCTGAACAACTTCTACAAAGTCACATTGTTTGAAACAACATTGTCATCATGCGACCCTAGCTTTGTAACCCCACTACGTACTACAGTGAACATGTAAATTAACATTTCTTTAACATACGGTACAAAACCTCTTATCCCTGAAAAATGCTTTATGTGCTGCCAGAGAACTCTCTCCCTCTGTCTCTCTCTCTCTCTCTCTCTCTCTCTCTCTCTCTCTCTCTCTTTCTCTCTTATCTCCAATGCCTTGTGCACAATGAACTCTTCACCAATCTAGGCCAAAGCAATGTGCACGATGGATTTATGGAAGCGTAGGTGTAAGTCCCCTTCCCTATTCCCTACCCCTATCATCATAAAAAGTACATAAATGATAAAGGGCTGAACTTTTATGAGTACCTATGACTTAAGCAAGACCACAAACCTACATGTACACATGCTGTACTTCTTGAACATGCATAATCTTTAACAGATGGAAACCAGAGCAATTGATTATTCTTCTTGTAGTTCAATATCATATGTAACAGACACCACGTGGTGTCTTTCTTTACTCTGTCTGAGTGGGCATGGCTTTAAAAAATGCAAGTAACATCCATCAACCTCATTTCATCATCTCAACATTTTGCTCTACATCTAAGGTGGACATTTACTGTGGTTAAATGCTCTGTAAAATTATACTTTGTATCATAACCACCGTCTTTTTCTATTAAAGCAAAGTGCACATACGCATTAGTGACTGAGATTGAATGAGAGGAGGGTTCTCCGTCACTAATCCTATGGATTCTTCTTTAACGAGTGGATTTTGTCATGTGATACATGGCTTGATGAAAATCTTGTCAAATCCTACGTGGGCTTACAGCCTCACACCATTTCTAGAGTACGTTCTAACGTCAAAGCTGACAATGTGTACGTATAGCCTCCTACAAAAGCCTCATGAAGCCATAACTCTATCCCTTTTAACAATGCTGTAATTTCACTGATAGGTGTGGTGTTTTAACCTCTTGGCTGTAAAGCCCGAGATAACTCTAGACAAAAGCCATGAAAATGCAGGTCAACCCCTTTCCTACGACAGCTTGGTGATTCCTTAATTCCTGTGCTTTTGATATATATATATATTTTTCTGTCTTTAATATTAATGGCATCAGTTTTCCCTCTACATGAAGGGATTTTTGTATCACTATACATGTAGCTGTTGGAACTATAAAAGAATAGAAAATATGCTCTATATTGCCATGTGAGCTTTTGAAACTAAAAAGCAAATGGCCATATGTTGCCATGTGAAAACCAAACACCATTTAAAGCCTGACTGAATGCGATTTCACACAGATCTTTCCCTAAAAGAGAACCGATAGATCGTCAAGATCGTCACACCGCATTTCCGCCAAGAAATCGATTTAGAAATTATGTCATCCTCACTACTAAACAACCCAACAGTGGAAGTCAACACTCCAAAGAGCGATTGAGCGTTGCTGACGTTTTTCCCCTGCAACCCCTTCAGGACTGTTCTATCGAGTATGAGGGACCATTTTATGAGCAATCTGTGCCCAAGTCTATTTCCTTTGAACGTTCTCCTTTGGAGTAACAAGCCCCTATCTGGCATGTGGCCTTCCTTACTACGCTTCCTACGTGGAAATTGAGAAAAGATCTCTGGAACTACAAACTAAATCACACTCTGACACGTCTTTCTCTTGCAGGAGAACCGTTGCTATCGTATGCCTCTATGGCTCAATGTCCATGGCATTGTTCTCTAGGTGGTGGCTACTTTTCAAAACTTTGATTAAACTCTACATTTTACAAATAATTGATAGTTTGAATGCAAAAAGTTGGAGCTTCACTATATAAAATGTTGGGGAGAATGATACCATATTACCGAATTGGTTAATGATTATTTATTTGTCAGTCTCATAGCACAACGTCCAATTATAAGTATCTTAAGCATGCAAACACCACATGCTCCATCTTAACTTATATGAATTGATATACACTTGTGTGGGAATGAAACTTAAATAGCCAAATTTTAAATGGTCCAGATTAACATCAGTTTAACTCACAATCCTGAAGTTTGAATCTGACGGAAGTTCTTGCTGCAAATATGGCCACTATGAACAAAACACAAAAATGCATGGTCTTTAGTATCCAGAGGTGACCTGAAATTTGCGCCAGCAATTATTGCTCTGGCCTCTTTTTTTTTTTTAAAGTATATATTTAAAGCAGGACTGCACTACTTGTAGCTACTTGCAACCTCTATAGATAGCCACCAATGCCTAAGCGGTGGCTGTTGATCCCCCATGGTCCCCTTTTTCTTATGTTAATTGACAGCTGATTTGATGAGATAACCAACTGTCAGTGACCACACAGGGATGTCTTATCCCTCATGGCCAAACTTATGCAGATAGGCTTTATGGTTACACTTGTAATATGGTTTAGGTTTAGGTTTAGCAATAGGGCTGGTGCAAGGTTTAGTTTTGGGGTTAGGGTTGAAGATAGGACTTTGGTTAGTGACAAATTACAGCAGAGAGGGCAAGCATTAAAAATTGTTAATAGGCCTGTCTTCATCAGCTCGAGATTGACAAATATCCCGCTATTTGTCCGTTGCGTCCTAACCAGCCCGAAGACTCGCACTAAGCGCGAACGCTGAGCAAAATATCTCGAGCTAATTTCTCGAGCTCGGGTTTCAAGTTTCGAGGCCAAGTCTCGAGCTGATGAAGACGCGATTTGTAACTTCAGGATTATTTCCCAAATCAGAAATAGCGGGCTATTTGGCAATCTCGAGCTGATCAGGACGGGCCTAATGAGACGGGAGAACACTTACCCCCACCGTCGCCACCATCCAAGCCCTCGGGGTTAGCACTGGATGCCTCTAGGAGGGTGTCTAGCAAGCATCCGATGGGGTCCAGGGGATGGCCGATCCACGCCTCGCTCGCGTCCCTCGCAATGTTGCTACTGCCGCCGCCGCTACCGTAGAATACCTCGCTGGCCGTCATGCTGCTCTGGGAACATTTCCGTTTTGATTTACGGGCACCTGGAAGGAGGGAGGAAGGTGGAGTGAAGGTGGTCAATTAAAGCCCCACTGCACTATTTATAGCTACTTGCGCCCTCTATGTAGCAAACAATGCCTAATCGGTGCCTGTTGGTCCCCCATGAACCCCTTTTTCTTATGTTAATTGAGAGCTGATTTGATGAGATAACCACCTGTCGGTGACCTTGCATGGAGGTCTAATCCCCATGGCCAAACTATGGCAGACAGGTTTTAATAACTTGTTGGACTTACCATTAGCCCTGTTTGCTTGTTTATTTCAATTTTTTGTGAGGACATTTCTAGATTTATATTCTTCCTGTATGCCTCATAGCACCAAAGGAAAATACATGTAATAACACAGTAAAGATGAAGTTAGAATCTACAAAAACAACACAATCAACAAATGTCATATTATCACATTATTATAACTAGGCCTAATTGTAACTGAGCTCATACCAGGCATTCAGAGAACATGGAAAATATTTCAAGTGGTTTTTCTTCTCTTTATTTTCTAATTTGTTTTTGAATTATTTGCCCTGGTATAATAGCTATGTATGAATGAATCCAATTATGTATCTTTGATTATGAGCTTTTTTTGTGTGCAAACTTGTTGTACTAAACCAATATTAGCATGTGGACTGCATTGTAATTATATAATATGTATATATATTATGATTTCCTGGTATAATGTAATAGCTGCGATTCAAAAGAGCATGTGAACTGCATTATAAAAGACAAAAAATTATAATTCATGAATACCAAAATTATCAATTTTTAATTGTATCCATCAAAAATAATATGATGGTCATTATCATGGTCAAATCAGGTGTCCATCTTGGTGGGTCTTAGGGGCGATGGTTCATATGGGCGATGGGTCTTCAGTGATGCGGTACTTACTGTGTTTAGCTTGTTTGAGGTGGTCTTGCTGTACTTTTTTGAGGTATCTAACGATGGAGACGGCTAGACGTAATGCTTCTTTGGGGTAACCATGGGAACGCAGAGCATCTACTCTCGCACAAGCTGTTGGTAGATGTTCTGAAAGAAACAAAGTTATAAAAATAGAGAAGATGAATTTCTAAGAAAATGACAACAACAAACTAATTTGAAATGACATTTGTCACGATAAAGACAAATTGAGAAAAAAAGTGGTAAACTCAAGAACTCATATAGGCATGTAAGTATATGTACATGTAGTTCCAAAATAAATATTTTTTTCAGAAAATCACAGAACAGAAATATATTGTTTAAACATACATACAACAGAAATTATTGGTATAAGGACTGACTGAAGAATGGGAGAGGGGGGGGGGGAGATGGCATGACGATTTAAAAGAACATAAAAGTAAAGTAGTGCACATAATAGTTATATAGAAGTGTAGAAAGAGAACAGAAAAGCATAGAGACCGAATCAATTATTTTTTTTTGAGTAATGAGAATATAAGAATATTTTTTTCAAAGATATATATGTGTGTTCCATCGAAAGCTTAGCAGTGAATATATTTTGAAATGGATGAATACTTTTGTTATGAAAATTCAGCTATCCGTACTTGACCCAAATTTGAACAAATATCTTTCTCAACTCTCACTACCATGCTAAGTGAGGCACTGTGCCTTTGACCTATAAAAAAGCACTGTGATTATTCAGTACGATATCAATGTACAGTGTACCATACTCGAAAACTACTTGTAACTGGGCTGCAGCACATATCCAGTCGTTTTCTTAAGAAAGGAATTCATCGGTAAAAAGGGGGGAAAAGATCAGTTTTCCTCACTCCTCATTCTTCACATAAATCCCAAATTCCCAACATGTATCCAGTGACACAGGTGGAAAAACATTCAGAGTAGCACTCCACGATCAACTCCTCGCCATCGCGCCGCGCCGCACTCAAAAGACCAAACTAAGAGAAGTGTGAGAGAGAGAGAGAGAGAGAAACCTTGGAAAGCGAGTAAATAAGAGAACTTGGTCTAGCTATCAATCAAACGCAGTCATTGTGAACGGTGACAAAGGCAGCACACGCCACACAGATTGCTAACGGTGTCACTAAGGCCACAGAGGTCAAAAAGTAACGCACCGACAGAAAAGAACGGAGGTTGTATATTGACGACTGCAGAGCTGAGCTCGGTTCAGTCGGCAGTGAGTGGTAGGGCTTGGAGGCCAGTGAATAGTTAGACCACTTCAGCACAAAGGAGAATGCTTTGGAATGTTCCAAATATGTTTGTTTCTCCAGCTCTCAGCACATTTGAAATGTTAATTACTGATCTTGCTTATGTCATTTTCTCTTCTTTTCTTGACAAGAAATTATTTTCTGTTAATACTTGATACATTCATTTTTATAGCTTATTTTATCACCTAAACTTTGAATACACTCTCATTCTCTCTCTTTCTATACACTATCACTCTCTCTCTCTTTCTATACATATATCTATCTATCTTTCTCTCTCTCTATTAGCCCCTATCTTTCTCTCCTTTTTCTTTTCAAGTACCTTTCAGTTCAACCTACTGCTGACAAACATTTCTTTCTATCAGTATCAAGTTCTTGGTAAATCTTCTTATATTTTTGAGAGAGAAAAAAACGTAAAACTTTCATACAAACAAATCTAAACGGGCAAGTGTTAAATTGGCACATCAAAACATGATTCAAACATTTGCAGGTACCTCTTTGTCTGTTTCCTTTCTTTCACAGAAAAAAAAACAACAAAATCTCCCCAAACTCTCAAGCACAAAACAAACAGTATAGACGCTGTTTGCTAGCACCAAGAATTCATTAACCTTTTCAACCCAGCACACGCTGTAAATCCATTCCATTCCGTTCCTCCATCACAATCAAGACAAATCAGAGAAAAGTGGATTTCCTGCTTCAACTGCCCCTCAAACTCAAACTTCCAACAAAGTTAAAGAGAAAGTTGGGTTCTGGGGAGAGGTTAAAAATGATTTGTGAGCATTGTTGTTATGTGCGAAAAGTGCGGAAAGACATCAGAGAAAAAATGATCCCTGAAAAGCATGGCTCTTCATATGCCTTTATACTCTTAAAATTACAAGTACCAGCTTAATAATGAGGCCCATTTTGTATGCCACATGTCTGTGTAGTCCCATATACATCTTTCTGTGTACAGTGCTTGTTAATACTTTACCAAGACTGGGTCAAATTTCTGATCATTTTGATGATTCCAGAACCTTGCAGTACACACCAATACTATATGTTACATGATTAACTTTTTTCTGATAGATTCCACACAGTTTCTTTCACAATGCAATCGCATGACCAGAACTCAACTTTATCTTTAAACTTCCAACAAACTTAACCCCCAGAAACAATTCTCTCGTTCATCCACCGCGTCTTTCATTCTCCACCTCACTATAATTTCTGAAGACCGTTAAAAACGTTTGACCCAAGGATTTCTCCGAATGTGATAGTTTTTCCACAAATATCGCGAGCAATGTGGTCATCCAGTTTGTCATCGCTTCATACGTATTTATTCTGATTTTTAAATCTATACTAAATTACTTTTCCACTACTCAGACTCTTTTCTCTGTGAATTGGAATTAATGTGTGAACTGGGGAGCAGAGGAGATTACTGATTGACCTTTATAAAGACCCGCTTCACATTTATCACTTAATCAAATATCCCATTCTCGCTTATTCTAGCATCAGCTATGGAGGGCTCTCCATGTTTCTAACATTATTACACAGTCTGGATCCAGGCTCAAGATTCATGCACATCTATAAAACCAGTCATGGAACTAAATCAATATACACTTGGTGACATATTTTGCCAAATAGAAAGATTGCATTTTTGGATGAGAAAACATATAAATAAATATAAGATAAACCAAGTCCTTTTTTTTTCTTCTTTCTTTAGCAAATTTTGTATTCTTCTTCGTCTGAAAAGATGCGGAAAATGCAAATAGAATTTGGCATAAATATTCTTATTTGAATGCTACTTGTCTAAAAACTAAAACAACAACGTCATATACAGAAAATGATTTCAAAGAGGTCAATCGACGTGACATTCATCAGTGGGCGCTCATGATAAGCCCCATCAAGTTATACAATTTTTGTAAGATAAGACGCTTAGATTAGTGCGGGACGCTGATTCTTTATTCATTCATTCTTTATGTTTGAAGTGATGCTTAAACATGAATTTAAAATTAAAGATAACAAACAGTCCTTTTCAGGACTACACTCCTCCAAGAAAGATTACCGAGTCAGAGTCCTTTTCAGGACCCCTAAAACCTCTCTCTCTCTCTCTCACACATGGTGCAACCGCAAACCTACTGTATAACATGCATTTTGTTATACGCCGCTTCACTATACCATGTTCAGACTAAGCAAAAATTCAGTACTTAGCGATTAGCTATACGATTTTCAATCGTTGTTATAATTTACCCTTGTACAGCTAAAAAGTCAGCTATACATTGAATTCTGTCAGTCTGAATGCAGGTTAGGAAGCACCAATAAAATAAGTATACACCAGTGAGCTACTCTCTTCAGAGCTCTTCAGAGAAAGCAGAGGAAAGGGGTTTGGGTAGGCCGACCGACCAACTTTGATCTATTTACTCCAAGAAAGTCCAAGTCCCTACTGAGCTATGCGAGATGTAAACATGCTCACAAACAGGATGCAAATTAGCTTCTTAAAAAAAATCAAGAACTTGATCGAGGTAGGCTAGCAGTTTCATTCGCCTTTCAAAGAACATACAAGAAATACAAGAAATAAATAATGTATTTACTCCTCCATGGTCAGCATGCTTTCATTTCCATCATAACACAATGTGGAACACTTGAACGGAGAGAGGGCAGAAACGGAAGGACTATCAAAATAAAGGAATAGAAAGAAAGAGAAAGAGAGGTGGATGGGACAGAGAAAGTGATAGATGTAAAGAAATGGAGAGAAAGATAGAAACAAAGTTTACAACTACAGACAGAGAGGGTCAGAGACCAAGAGACAGATAGGTAGAGAAACAGAAAGTCATAGCAATAGAGAGGCCTGAAAGATAGAGACAGAGAGAGAGAGAGAGAGACAGCATTCAACAAAATCACATTTGAAAAGTGAAATTAGATATGAATAAAGAAGGAAAGAGCAAAGAGAAAAACTATATTACATTTGGTCAAATGAGGGTACAGGAAAGGATGTCTGCATTAAAACGGACCAAAAACTAAAATGCTAATACACAAATATTCAAATGCATATTTTTAATCACTGGCGCTACAGGCCAACTTTTTTACATATTAGTCGCAACAATGGGTGTTTTGCTTTACAACGTGGGGACAATAGCAATCCATGTAGCTTTAGGAATAGTATGAATGTGAATTATAATGGTCTTAATTCATTATTACTTTTATGAAGGGATGAGACATATTATTCTTATCCCATCATTTATCTCCAGACTCGATATACCTTACGATCCTCTCATTGCGACAAAGCACAGCATGATGAAGAATGGAGCTCGTATAGCAAAGAGCCTGGTAGCAAGATTACAGCCTAGGCATGCATGCATGCAGCCTGCAGTAATCGACTCATGGTCACTGTATGATAATATCCCAACCTTTTCAATTCTAGCATGTAAGCATGTGTATGGATTTTTGTGTTCAACAGATAGAAATTTTTAAACGGGTAATAACTACATAAGAATGAAAAGAAACTGGTGTAATTTTTAACATTATTAATTTGCTAGCATATTCTGGTAGTTAATATATGTTGTATACTTTTAATCTATTGTTGTGATTAAAACTTTATTCCTGTTCAAAATGATTTAAGTTGGAATTATTTGTTGTGAGAACGTTAAAGGTAGTATTGTTTTCTGCTTTCCTTTTAAGCCTTCTTTTTATCATTTATGGTTCTCATTTGTTCAATATCATTCCCAGAAGTCTGCGAGAAAAAATAAATCATAAATTGATTTATAAAAATCATTAGGTCAAATCTGCAGAGTAAGCCATTCAATCAAATCTGTCAAACTTGTGTCTTTTGATCTAGAAAGAACAAAAGAAAAGAGAGCTGCAAAATACAGGGAAAATGTATCCAAAAAAGACTAGAATTGTTCTACCACAGTGTTTCTTTCTCTGATAATATTAATTATTTCATTATGGTGAATAAATAATGGCATCTAAAGACTACTTTGAATTCTAATATAGAGTGTGATCCATAGTAGAACACTTTTGAAAGCGTGGCAATGAGCCGTAATTACTTTGAAAAAGACGGGCATAAAGCCCATCACCATTGGGTTTTACGCTACAGTTGTTTTCCAATCATTCGCTGCCTGCCCAACAATGTCCAGCACACAAAAAGAAAAATTAGCGTTGCTTCTTTCATCTCACATCAACGCTTTATCTCTCTCCCTCCCCGTCTCTCTCTCTCTCTGTCTCTCTCTTTGCCTCTCTGTCTCTTTCTCTCTCTCTCCATCTCCCTTTACCCCGCTGTGTTTTCCCCTCCTCTCTCTCTCTCTCTTTCTTTCTGTTAATGTCTACCCTCACAGTATTTTCCCACTTCTCTTCCTGTTTCTTGCTTTTCCAAACAGCCTTCTTAACCCCCCCCCCCCCCCCTATCCCTCCCTCTCACTCTCTTTCCCTCTTTCTCTCTCCCTCCCCCTCCCTCTTTATTTTCATACATTCAGTTACGATTGAATTACATCTTCTGCATCTATTTCAAGATCTGATAATGAATATTCATGCTTGCACAATATGATACTCTCATCTTTATTGCATATCATTCTAAATATCTAATTTAAATCCCTCTACACTCTATCTCTGTCTCCATTCTTTTCCCCCTTTATCTCTCTGTGGCTGACTCTCCATCATTTTATCCCTTTCTCTTCCTCCTAATCTCTGTCCATCTCTCGATACGCAATGCTAATGAATTAGCTTTCAAGTTGAATGAATATCATGTGGACCATTATCTCAGCTTTTCTATTGGCTGCAGCGACCCCAGGGCTAGTCTCACATCCAGTCTCCCTTGTGTTTACTCAGCGCAGTACTGTTATTGTTAGATATTAAATTCATCGCGCTTTCAAGAGCATTAAGTTGAAAATAATATTACAGTTCCAATATCATGAGGTCAACTACCACAATGTGCTTTTTTTCAGTGTACATTTTATAGAAGGAATACATTCAAATGAAATTCAATGAACAAGAGCAAAAACATGTTTTTAAAAAATATTCATGCACCTTCAAAAAATATGTGTACAACAATATTTTGTATAAAATATATATAAAGCAGTGATTTAAGTTGTCTGTCTCTGAAAACTGTGGAGTTTGACTAAATAGCTGGATTTCTGTTCATGTTGTAAAGAGGTTTGTGAATGAGAACTAGGCAGGCCCCAGTGGTTGTGTGGTAGAGTGCTTGGATGCATCGCTCACGGCAACAACATCACTCTATCACCAGGGAGCGCATCATCAGCAGACAAGCTCTCAGCCGGCCTGGCCTGGCTGGCCGACAGGACACCCTTAATGCACTTATTGACTGGCAGGGAGACGGCGGATGAGACGGGGAGATAGATAGAGATGGAGGGATGGAGGGATGGAGGGATGGAGGGATGGAGGGATGGAGGGATGGAGGGATGAAGGGATGGAGGGATGGTTGGATAAAACAGATGGATTGATGGAGGAATGGAAAGATGGATGAATAGATGGAGAGGTGAATACATGATAAATGGATGGAAGGATGGAAATGACACAGACTGAAGGAGTCTTGAAGGGATGGAGGGATGGTTGAATCATAAAACAGATGGATGAATGGAAGGATGGATGGATAAATAGAGAGATGAATATATGATAAATGGATGGATGGATGGAGATGACATAGACTAAAGGAGTAAATCTTGAAATAGAGCAAAATAATGGATCAGAGGGAATAATAAGCTGGTTTGGAAACAACTAAACGGAAGGGCTAGAAGGTATTAGTGTAATTAGGTAGATCACGGTAATATAGTTATGACTGAGGATGCAGGTTGAGAATAAATAACAAAATGAGGTACAGAATAAACATAAAGAGAAGGGGAGAGAGAGGAAGGAAGGGACGGACAGATAGAGAGAAAGAGAGAGAGAGAGAGAGAGAGAGAGAGAGGGAGGTAAATATAATATTAATCCAGGAGTTGACTCAAAAAGTAGAATATATGTTTACACACTTGCAGATGATGGAGGGGGGGGGGGAGAAAAGGGGCATGACGCTTGATTCCTCATCAGCAAAGAACAAAACTGAAGAGCTCGATTCTTATACCACACTCCCAGGAAAGGGCAACACATAATGGTGAACGTGTTTCATGCAGTCGCACTCAGGTACCAAACTTAGGTGTAGTAGCCCCTATTGAGTATTCCATTCCACACCTTGGAAAAGTGCATCCACCCTACTCATTAAATGTAATACCCTCCTAGGGCTAGAATTATGCAGTGGGACCGGGGTAATAGCCCGACCCCCTCTATTATTGGATACCGGTCCTCGCTTAATGGGAGGTACACAGTGGGTGTGAGGAGAATGGCAGACGGAGGAATGCAGACATGAAAAGAGAGAAACTTAAAATACAAGATGGTGAGAAAAATATACTAAAACAGACGAGGAGGGAAAATGATATTTTAGATAATGATCAAAGGTACGATTGTGTAGAAAGGTTAAAGATAAGTAGAAGCAGAAGCAGGATGAAAATAGATGAGTTGTACATTGAAGGTAGAAGAATTACTAATGAGAAAGAAAACCTACAATAGATGAGAATGAAGGTGAAATAGATGGGATGGGTAAAATCAATGTACCATGAGTAAGAGAGAGAGAAAGAAGGAGTGAGAGAAAGAAGGAGAGAGAGAAAGAAGGAGAGAGAGAAAGAAGGAGTGAGAGGGGAAGAGACAGACATAAGGAGAGAAAGGGAAAGATACAAATGGGGAGAGATTGAGAGAGACAGAGAGAGAGACACTTAAGACAGAGAGGATGGTGAAGCCATACAAAATGAAAAAGGAACGCATCAAAAATAGAAAACAACTTCATGCTGTGGAAACCGATGAGAAAAACAGGAAAATATCTCAAAACTGTCAAGATTACTACATGACCATAGTGGAAAGGCTGACTGGTTGAAGAAGAAAAAAAGATAGATAGAGATAGACATAGAGGGGTAGAGAGAGAGAGAGAGATAGAGATAAAGATAGGGAGAGAGAGATAGAGATAGAGGTAGAGAGAGATAGAGAGAAGAGGAGGAGAGAGAGAGAGAGAGATAGAGATATAGATAGAGACAGAGGGAGAGAGAGAGAGAGAGAGATATATAGATAGAAAGAGAGGGAGAGAGATGGAGAGAGAGATAAAGAGAAAGAGATAGAGAGTGGAGGTAGGGAGGGAATACGGGAGGATGTACAACAGACAGCTAAGGGAAAGTGACACTATAGAAAACGCAAGAGGAGGGCACCAAAAACGGAACATAACCTCTTATCTATGGCAACGGACGAGGAAAACAGAAAAAGATTTGAAAAACATTCAAGAAGCTCCTTACCTGACCAGAGTGGAAAGGCTGACTGGTTGAACAGACCATAATCCATATCTTTGATATGGTGCACACACATGAAGTAGTCTTTGTTCAAGACGTTTTGTAAGTGGTTGTCACACCACTGAAGGTCGCACGCCTCTATCGCCCTTGTGAAGATCGTCCTCGGTCTGTCGCCGTTTGCGGACGGTCCTGGGGGGAATATGAGAGAAAAAAATTAAAAGATGAATCTTTAGCTCCTGTAAAACTAAGATTTTGTTGTTGATATTACTACCCAGAGATAATTATAATGTACAGTAAATCTTACCTGAAAAATGTATCAATTCATCATTTTGAGCTCAATAATAATACAAATCCATTCTGCACGTTAAATATCATCTTAGAATAAAAAGTCCCAAACATCCCCAGTTTCAGTTGAATATTTGTAAATAAGAAAATTGATGATAACTACAATTGGAGCTTCATTTAAACTTAAATATGAAGAAAAAAATTGCATGCCCAACAAAAATTGAGGGTCAAGCAATAGTTCAACTCAAATGTATAAAAGACCTACAAATAACTGGTAATATTGAATGCTTTTACGACTGTTCTATTCCTTACAATTTATTTGGTTTAGTTTATGATTTTTAAATAGATACACCTGAAGTATAGTCGTGACTAGCGGGGTGCCCTGCAGAGTATTAGTACAAAAATGTATAAGCCTAACTACATGTATGCCTATCGGTAACTATGCCTAACTATTAGCAGTTTATCTGCAAATGCATTTCTACCAGACACACATGTAACAGAGATAGATAGATCTCTTCTAATTACCTGCCACATTGTTTATTGCACCTGGTCCAGGGTTGGGAATATTACTGCGAGCGTCTGCGTCTTCTAGAGGGCAAAGGTCATTGGAACTCCATTGCCGTAACCGCACTCTCCAGAGCTCTTTATCTCGCTTTGAGTAACCTGGATTCATCACCACCACCATCCATAGTAAACCTGAAAATAAGAAAATAAAATGAAATTTTAATAATAATAGCTAGTTTTTATATAGCGCTTTTCAGAACCGAAGGCCCTCTCAAAGCGCTTTACAGATATATATATCATTATTGGATAACTGGTAATCAAGACTTTCATCTACGTATGTAAATCATTTACATTCATGTATCTGCAAGATCATATTTCGATATTTCATCATTATGAATAACATGACATCATTTCTTCATTTCACCTATTCTGCAGTATCTTTTCTCAATGTATCTTGGATAAAAACAGATATTTTCATTTCTTTAAATACATTAAATCATTTTTTGTTCCAGAATTATAGTCATTTTTATGGAATGGAAGGTTGATATTTAGTGCTCAATAAATGAGAGACTCATACATGTATGAAGTTCAAATTTGAGAATAATATATAATACAATCAATTATAATACTGAGCTACGCCTGGACTGCACTTATTAGGGTATTACACAAATCAAATGTTCATAAAATTCATAAAAGACAATTTTTTTTTTAAAATCTCATTGCAACAAATAACAGAATTTTTGACAGATGGGTTACAGAGGGCTAAGAAAGTGTTACAAAACAAGGATATTTGGCACATCTTTCTCATTTGATATCACCGTCTCGCACCGCCACACATGTACATATTAAACATGGAACGCATCAGGATATAAAGAAAGAACAAGGGAAACGAAAGAAAAACAAACAAATGGAAGGGGAAGAGAAAGTGCACTGGTTGTATCTGATAAGATTATCTTCTAAGATGTGGTGAGGATAATAGAAGAAAATGGATACCGCGCTAGAAACCATCCCTAGCTATCCAGCGCTATCTGGCTTCCTCCTCGCTACATGCGATTGATTAATGTACACCTGCTTGAGCGAGAGATGGGTTTCATTTTCTAACAAACATCGCGCCGGCCATCTTCACTTATCTGTCGCCTCTCATGTTCCACGGTGTTTGGTGAAATCCCCAAACATGGCGATCGTAAAAAGTTGCAACCCACCCGATAATTTCCTCTTGGTGTTTTGGTCTTAAATTCATGGGACAGATGCTTGCTTGCTGTTGGATGTTAGACACAACGGACTGAGATACACAGGCAGTGTATCGGAGGAAGCACTTGTTTCCTTTCTCCCTACAATGTGAAACTATGCGTTTCAACACTCTTTTGTTCTATGTGAAACTCAAGTGTTGTAAAACGTCATGATGTTGCCCAAGTCTATCATATGATTAACATATAAAAATTATATTTCAACTGATATATCAGCTACATCATGATTACAATATTATATGATATTCATTGGAACATGTGTTCAAATATGTTATCTTGAGATTGATTTTCAATAAATGGCCTGTTGGAGGGTCCAAAAAATAGAAGAAAACAAAAATGATTACAATATGTTCTAATGAATTCCACTGTATGAATAATGTCATTATTTCAGTAGTGCAGTGATATTGTTGTTTTCCAGAAATTATCAAGGATTTATTTTTATTTGAGAATGTATTTTGCATGAATTCTGTTGCTCTTAATTTGAGCCAGAAAAGTCATGTGGAAATGACAAAATACTATACACGGATATGGACACATGGGACTAGAATCCTAAGTTACAGGTTGCTGGGACTATTTCTTTACAGACTTGCACACTAACAAATTTCAAGAGGATTTTGGAAAGGCAAGGAAAGTTCTATCCTACGGAACTCCACAGAAGAAAAGTCAACAAAGAAAATGATCATGCAATCAATATTATACTACTTCCCAACGTTGAATATTCTCTTTAAAGCCTGTCTGTACTAGTCTGGCCAGGAGAGATTAGACCTTCCTGCAAGGTCACTGACAGGTGGTTATCTCATCAAATCAGCTCTCAATTAACATAAGAAAAAGAGGATCATGGGGGACCAACAGGCACCGATTAGGCATTGTTTGCTAGTAGCTATAAGTAGTGCAGTGGGGCTTTAACAACCAACAAATATGATCTCAAACAAGCAGAGTCCTTTCCAGATAGAGTCACGACCCAAACATGAAAACATGTCATGTGTCTTCAAACGGTTACATCCTCCATATGAAGTGGAAACACTCCCTCATCCTAATCTTGAACTGTGACTTCAGATAGGATTCATAATCTATTTTCTCTCAAGTCACTCTGTATTTGCGTGGCGAGGAAAGCAGGGAACTGGGCTAGAGGTATTCCAAGTTCATACACCAGCTAAGAAGTACAGGCTACTCAATCAAACAGGATCTCCAAACTTTGTGAAAAGGCATTGACCTGAATGTTTTACAAACCTCTCAATGTTTGGCCGAGTTAATGGTATTTGTTCAACATGTTACCAAGTATCAAACTACTGTGAATATAGATTGTCATAATAAGCATAATTTAAATTGATATTTTGTCTCATCCAAGGTTCTAGAAGGGCTTGTAAACAAAGTAAAATTAGATTTGGTCAATAAGGACTATGACAAATATTATCCACAATTGGTCTCTATGCATGTTAGAACATCGCTAATTTAATGTCACAAAACCTAGATTACGCATTCAAGAACAATTGTGTTTTCAGTGTGGAATTAAATATTTCTTTAATTTTGTGGAAGTTTATTCCAAAGTTCTGATGCTACATGTATATGTATTGACCTTATTTTTGTTGGGACGGGCTGTAGTTTCCTGCAAGAGATCACTACCTGTGAGAGGAAGAAGTAAAAGTTGGGCTGGGAGAGGAGAGGGTAGGGCATAAGCAACGTGACAGGTTGCATCAAACTCTTTCAACCACACTCAAAAAGGACTCAAGAACCTTTATAAAATGTGTGGATGCTCGTACTACTTGCCTAATAAATAAGTTATGAAATTTTAAAAAGATGACTTTATTTATACCTTATATCTTGAGGGAATGTTGGTGCTTATGGTAGCTTGTTTAATGATTGCCTGACATAGCAAGCTACATAATTATAATGGACAAGTATACAACAGCCTATCCAACACGACCTGTAGTGGTACATGTAAACTATACTACTAGTATCGAGCCCTGCTTATACTGTATAGGCTTCAAAATATCTGCTGAACAACTATAGTATTACAAGGCAAAAACAGTTGTTTGTAAATAGTACTGAGTTTCCCACTGATAAGATAGAGTTCATCGTCCAGATGCTAAGTACTTGAATATGTTGGCCTAGATGTATAGTAATAATTTTGTATTTTAAAGTTGAAATTATAAAATCACGTTGCCTCACATAATAATATACACATTGTATCAGTTTCTACACTAGAGATGTTAAAATGATGTAACTCCCATTTATTAAATTGATACACGGTACCATCAGCCGTAGAACGAGCGAGTGTATTATCAAATTCAGTATTTGATCAATAAAGTAAATTTGGAGTGAAGGCCTAGGGAAATAGAGCCACAGGGAGAAGGTCAGTTCTTACTACAAACTGCTAAACCTGACCAGTCCAGCGTACCTTCATTATTCAAATGAGAACTCCCGCATCACTAATCAAGGGAGATATATACATGCGGGCATGCTAGACTTCACACACCAGCCGCTTTATTGATAACGTCCATCAACAGTATTCTATTTGATTATTATCATGTATAATTGTGTAGGAAAAGAGAAGCTTGTATTCACTATGAATATGACTGACAAAGAAAGCGGACAAAATATACAGTTCCTCAGGCAGACAAAGGAACATCCCTTCACTGCTATTATGTAAAAATCTGTAGAACAGGTGAATATGCATGTGACACCTGTTCTACACATTTTTACATAATAGCAGTGAAGGGATGTTCCTTTATCTACCTCAGGAACTGTATATTTTGTCCGCTTTCTTTGTCCGTCGTGTTTATAGTGATTCTTCGGTTGTGGGAGAAATTGAACAAAAGCTTTACATTTTTGCTCTAATGAGTAATTATGAGATTTCTTTAGAGAGTGGTTTTGATTAAGGAATATGACAGGTAATTTTTGAAATATGAAATCTACACAATCTAACAAAACAAATCACACATTCATGCAGGTTTACACTGAAAAATATAGTTTTCACCTAAATCAGTTCATTAAAGAAATCATTCATACAATATTGATTTGCGTATTCAGCCAGAGAGCCAATAAACAATGCTTCCTTTTGTTAGGGGGAAATTGTACATACGGTAATGGAGCATACAAAGCAATTGTGATGAAATGCTCACTGGCGTACCATGAATTGACATTTGCTCTTGTATTATGCTTCTATGGGGTTGTGCAAGCACAAATTACCAAAAAAAGCTGAAGAATTAGCCTCACAGTGGTGGGAGATATGGGAACAGACTGACAGAGAGAGAGAGAGAGAGACATATACATACAGCGAGGAAGACAAAGAGAGAGAGAGAGAGAGAGAGAGAGAGAGAGAGAGAGAGAGAGAGAGATCTGTGAACACCACAATGGAGTGTGTGTTTGGATATTAAAACAACAATAAATTAATCTTTTTGAGATGAGTCTAGCTAGATAAGATTTACCGATCATGTAGATATGCGGCTTAAACATGATTAAAATATGTGACTGTGTTGCAAGTATAATTAAAAATGAAAATAAAATGAGTATGACTTCTTGAGATAAGGCTAGATAGATAAGAGTCATCCCATGCTTGGGGTGCCTTGAGCCCATGTGACAAAGCAGTGTTATTAGGCATACTGATTAAAGCGGGCTGCAACGCTTTGCCCGTCGATAATGAAGTACCCTCGCATCGCAGCCGCTTTCATTTATTTGCAAATGCGTTGGACGTCGCCGAGTAACCGGAGGAGTTTTGGGGGCCAGAGCCAACATTTTCGCAGCACGCCGTATTATCGTTAGACGCGATTTCCCTCTCTGCAGTCGTTATCGATGCCCCCGCGTGTGACAACCGGTGAGGTTGGGAGTGATGTATTTGGTCACAGCGTTTGGTTTCAAATGATAACTTTGGGAGGGCCTTGCTACTAATGCATGCACAAACAGGGCATGGGGTAGCTTACATGGACTGCGCATATTGAGGTTTCC